CACAGTTTCCTCATCTCTGTGTGTATATTATTATTCATATAGTTTTCTATATTTGTGTCTAACCTGTGGTAGAGCCTTCCAAGTCCATATTGGTAAGATCAGCCACAACTGGACACACTGTACATTGACCCTGACATTGTGATATCGTTTTGGTCGTCTTCAAGCATGAAGGACAAACAACAATGACATAGAGTTTCCTATATAAATGAAATTATAGGTCAATCCCTATCTCTTGCTCAGAGATAGCAACGTGTTTAAGTGATGAAGATGGTGTCAGGTTATATCAGATGACTTCACAAAATTAAAAGGGATAGAAAATTTAGAAGAAACACAAGTCAGGAAAATTATCAACAGTCATTAAGCATGTACTAAATCACCTATGTGCCAGGAACTCTGCTAAGTGCTGAAGATACAAAAAAAAGGCAAAACAAACAAAAACCAGTCCCAGCTCTCAAGGAGCTCACAAGCTAATGGGACAACATGCAAATAGCTCTGTATAAACAAGATATAGACAGGATAAATTGGAGATAATCAACAGAGGTCAGGCAGAGCATTAAGGTGATTTGGGGAAGAGCTCTTATAAAAGGTGAGATTTAAGCTGGGACTTGAAGGAAGCCAGGGATGCCAGAAATTGGAGATGAGGAGGGAGAGCATTCCAGGCCTAGGAGACAGCCAGAGAAAATGCCCGGAGAGATGAGTGTATTGTATGGGGTATAGCCAAGAGGCCAGGGTCACTGCATGGAAGAGTATGTGTGTGGAGTAAAGTGTAAGAAAACTGGAAAGGTACCCGGGAGCCATGTTGTAAAGGACTTAAAATCGAAACAATTTTATATTTGATCCTGGAAGCAATAGGAACCCACTGTAGTTGATTGAATTGGGGGATGGGGGTAAAGGTGACATGGTCAGACGACCTTTTTATCTTTAGGAAGACTCGGGTCTTCCTGACTCCAGGGCCAGTGCTTAGAGATGATTTTGTAAAATTTATTCTTCTACCCAGAGTCCAGTCATTGGTATGATCTTTGAAGTTACTTTAATATCTTTTAAAAGAGGAAAAAACTCTAATGCCTTTGCTTCTTGACAGCTTGGTGAGAATGGACAGGGAGACCTACCAGCAGGCTTTGCAGTAAGCATGAGGTGGAGGCAGCTAGGTGTCAAAGTGGATAGAGTGCCAGGCTCGGAGTCAGGAAGACGTATCTTCTTGAGTTCAAATCGGACCTCAGACACTAGCCATGTGTCCCTGGCCAAGTCATTTAACCCTGTTTGCCTCAGTTTCCTCATCTGTAAAATGAGCTACAGAAGGAAATGGCAGACCACTCCAGTATCTCTGCCAAGAAAACCCCAAATGGTGTCAGGGAGAGTCGAACACGACTGAAAAATGACTAAAGGGCATGAGGTGCTGAGGACCTGCACCAGGGTGGGGCAGTGTCAGAGGAGAGAAGGGAGTTTATAGAGAGATTATACAAAAAATAGTCAAGCAACTTGCATTTATTAAGCCCTAGTTAATGTTCCAAGTACTGTGCTGAGTAATAGGGATACAAAGACAAAACTGATTTCCCTGCCTTCAGGGGGCTTGGGGGTGGTGGTGAAGGGGATACAATATGTTCATGAATAAGTAAACATGGGGCATAGACAAAATAAATACAAAGTTATTTGTGTAGGAGGGGGAGGGGGAGAGAGGAAGGAATGAGGGTAACAGCTGGAGGAATCAGGAAAGGACTTTTGAAAGAGGTGGCCCTTGAACTGAAATCTGAAGGGGAAGGGAGAAGGCAGAGGGGATTAGTGGGAGGAGAATTGTTCTTGGACACTTGCTGGTGGCTCTGTGACTGTAACTAAAAATCAGTTATTTGGCTGCAGACTGTGTTTCTTCATTTGTAAAATGTAGTTCATTACAGTTTTTTGTGATAATCAAATGTAAAGATATAGACGTAAATGATTTTATATGTGTGTGTCTGTGTGTGTGTGTATATATATATATATGAAGCATTATCAATCTAAAGAAGCCTTTATAAATGTCAGGCTTTCTTTTTAGGTTTAGCAGTGCCACTGGCTAACTATGTGACTTTACAAGTCATTTTTTCTGGGCTCCAACTTCCTTTTCTGCAAAATGAGGGTATTAGAATCTAAATCTTTAGGGACCATTAAAATCTAAAACAAGCCTGCACAATATATGGCCTGGGCTTGCTGTCTGCCAAAGGATTTCGTGTAGTCATATGACCTTTGGCAACCAACCTTTGTCAGTCTGTCTCTCGTGTAATGTATCTTCAGCCCCAAGAAGTTGAGCCTATTTTAATTTTGGCCCCTACCTACTGTCAAGTTGTGCAGGTCTGCTCTAAAATGTAGGGATTCTAATAGTAACTAAAATTATGTTGGCCCATATTTCAAAGTGAGGATAGATAACAATATAGTGAGCAAAAAAAAGATTGTCAAAAAAGTAGTCATCTGGGCAGATTTATATGAAGTTTTGAGGAGTTTGGTGATGTAAGATATAGATCAACTTTAACTCCTATCAAGTTAGTTTATTTGACTTGAAGTTGGGATTATGTTATCAATTAAATTGGCAAGTTGTTAACATTCATCATGAGTTAGAATCGCTGTTAGAATAAGTTGAAACTAAACAACACAAATGAACACTATAAAGAAAGAATATTGTGTTCCAATGTCTCAGATTGGTTCAGAGCTGTAAAAATCAATGGGCTTTTTCCATCTTTAATTTCGGCTAATTTATCTAGGCCAACACAGAGTTATTAGTCATTTCTTGTTCTTTGTCTTAGCCTGTTCCCATCGCATTCTGTCAGGGTTCCTACTGTGTCACTGGGAAACTATTTAATAGATATTTAATTGGGTCTCTTCCTGTGGCCCAAACTGCCATTTGTCTGTCACCTCATCACTTACCGCCCAGGAGCAGTATAGTACCATCCCAGTTATACAGACATCAGATCTGGTCATCCTTAATTTAAATGGTCATTTAAGGTCAGGGCACCCTGAGGTTTGAGGCCATTCTAGAATAAGACGACAGACCAGTTTAGGACTCAGGCTCCAGCCTAGGAGAGGATTTCTTTTACCTCTTCCTAGCCCCCGGATCAGAGAAGGAAATGGCAAATCACTCCAATATCTTTGCCAAGAAAACCCCAAATGAGGTCACAAAGAGTCGGACATAACTGAAACGACTGAACAAAGCCCCCAGATAATACTAGATCTGAGTCAGAATTTGACAGGTTTTTTTAGACTTGAGATAATACTGTGTCAAGCTGGTATTTAGCAAGGTAACTTCCATCCTGGTCTGTCATGTTAAGATCTACTAGAGCATATTGAATTTTTGAGAAGTAGGAGCTGTAGCAGATACAGGGGCTTGCCTTGGCGTCAGTAAGACATGGGTTCAGGTACAGCATCTGACATCTTCCAGTTACACTATAAATTAGAGAAGAATTGCTGATCTACATTGTGGAAGAAGTACTTTTTTTTCCTGCCTTGGGCAGTCCCATATAGATGAATCACAGCTCCCTACCAGACCAAAACTACTATGTTCAAAGATCTAAAGCTGGACAGGACTTCCAGAATCATCTAGGCCAATCTGCTCATCTGACAGATGAGGAAACTGAGGCCTAGGCAGGCCAAGAACACATGCGTAGAAGATATCAAAGGAGGGGTTTGAACACAAGACCTCCGACTTCAGAGCCAGTGTTTCTTTCTCAGCTCCAGGATATGTGTGATCCAGCTATATTGGCTTGCTTGAGAATGACTGTCCCTCACACCAGACACTTCCATATCTGGACTCTGCATTTGAATTAGCTGCCCCTAATGCCTCTAATGCCTTTGCTTCTTGACCTCCAACTGCTGTTTGCCCAGGCTTCCTTCAAGATTCAGCTCAAATCCCACATTCTTCTGCAGGAGGCCTTTCCCTCTGACATTTCTACCTTCCATTTACACTACGTATGTTTTGAATGTATATAATTATTTGCCTGTTGTCTCCAGCATTAGACTGTGAGCTCCTGGAAGCCAGGAACTTGGTTTTCGCCTTTCTCTGCATCTCCAGGGCTCTGCTTCATAAGTGCTTGAGCTTCATGATTTGCAATACCAACTGCTAGAAGAATAGTTTAGGCATAAATTTTCTCAGCAATGTGATGGAGACATAAAAATACAATGAGGCCCCAAAAAGAGTCATTCCTCCTAGGAAAGAATTAAAACTCAATAATTTGATAAGTGCCAGAGCCAGCAAATCAGCCTGCCCCTGACATGGGAACTCACTACTTCTACTAGAATTGTTTCCAAGGAAGAAACTGAGCGTGTACCATTGGAACTTGATGTACCGGTAGTCTTGCCGTCCATTCCCGAGACAGATTCCAAAAGTTTTAACACTTGCTCCCTGGCCTACGTGGTACCTGCTGTCTCTCCCTTACTGTCCACACTCCAAAAGTAAGCCGACGAGCGGGGCAGAAGCCTGGGGAGGGCTGCTGGGAGTGTGCAGGTCTGGATGGCCCAGACCTGGTTCGGAGGCCTGGGGTGGTTGGAGCAGTGGGTTCACATTGCCTAGGGGGACTCGGGAGTCCCCGGGCCCCAGGGGCGGGATTGCCGCGATGGGAACTGGCCGTCCCTTTGTTTCTCGCCCGTTACCTGCACGCTCTCATTGCGGCGCAGGCAGTCCCTTTTCTAGTGTCGCTGCGGCCCCGCCAGGGCCGCTCCTTGGGGGTCTCGAGGTGCCCGCGCCCTTCAGACTAGAGGTTCGGAGGCTGCGTCCCAGCCCCTTCCCTGCCCCCCGCGGCCCCTTTAAGCGCCGGCTCAGAGCGTGGAGTGGGTGGGGGCGATCGTGGGCGCCGGACCGCCCGCCGCGCTCGGAGCCCCGCCCTCCAAGGAGGCGTTTCCCAGCGGTCCGCAGCCCTCATGCCGCCCGCCGGGGCTTCTGGCCGCCGCCGCCGCCGCCTCCGCCGATGCAGCTGCCCCGGCCCGCGCCCTGCAGCCCCCGGAGGAGCCTGAGCGCTGGCGGCGGAGGGGGGTCCGGAACCCGGCGCTAGGCCCACGAGTCTTGGCGGAGAGTCGAGGAGAAGAGAGAGAGCTCCCCGGCCTGAAGAGGAGGAAGGCAGCGAAAGCGGTAAACAATGCCGGCTGCAGCGAGTGGGAGCCTCGGGCCAAGAGATGCCTGGTCCGGGACCCTGGGCCGCAGCCATCCTGCCGGCATCAGCAGGGCCAAGCCGTGCTAGCTGCTTGAGGTGCCTCCCCCTCCCGGGAAGGGGACTGCCTTTCCCGGAGTGGAGCCCAGCTGTGCTGCTGCTGGGCGGGGGGGAGCTGCGGGCTGTGAGGCCCTGGGGCCCCTAATACTCAGTTCCTTGGGTACTGGACGCTGGGGGATGAGTAAGCATTAGGTTTGCAGATCCTGAAGTGAGTTCGGGAGCTCCCCAAGTTGACCTAATTCACTCTCCGGGTTTAGCTTGCTTATTCCTCCGGAGAGAGGCCTATGTTACTGTGGTCCTCTCTAGTTGACAACTCTTAGAGATCACCTCTAGGGAGAGCTGGTTTAACCAGGTTGTCAGCCTGTCTCGTTAGGTGCAAAGGTGTCAGCTCTTCACTCTTCTGCTCGTCTCCGGGATTTTGCTGGAGGTAAACACCTCAGGGCTAGGGCTGTGAGTGAGTGTAAGTTACCTTGAGGAGTAGCTGCTGTTTCTGGCTCTAAGGGGGCTCCCTGATTTTTCAGAGTACTCCAGTGAAGAGGATGACTAGTCCTTGTTCATGGAGAATGCCTGAGGCAGGTGAGAAGTTTTGAAGATTAGAAAGGATTTTTACATTGTCACCAGCACTTTGGAGGGTTTTTTTCTGCCCTTGATCAAACGATAAAAATCCCAAATTTTCTGCTACAGTTACATAATTGTGCTGCTCCTTCAGGTCAAGTGTCCTTCCTCGAAGCAGTTGTAACTGAGTGCATAGTTTTTCGTTTTGTTTTTTTGTGTTTTGTTTTTGTAGCCACTAACCTTTTTTAGTGGAGCTTGCTCTTTTATGCGAAATTTGTAATTCAGAGTTGGTGTTTTTAAATGGGCAAAAGTTAACTTCTCCAGTTTCATTAAACTCATTCTGCCTCTGCTGTAGTGTCTCCTTGGCAGGAAGCAAGGGCCCAGGACTGGTAATCAAATCCGGATCTGTTGTATTGTGGTAGTGAAGAGCTTTTGTAGGTCAGGAGCTTGTGAATTAGAAATTTAAAAAGTCTTAATGCCATCCACAACTTTCTGTGTAAACAATGTTTCCTTTTCACATCATTTTGTAGTAGTTGCTGGTTTCACCATGTAACAATCTGAAAACAGAATATTACAATCAAAATACAAGGATTTAATCTTAAAGGACCCTACATCTGGGCCCCTAGAATAGCAGAGAGAACACCACTAGAAAGCCTGGGGATCCGAAGATCTGGGTTGTAGAAGCCATTCTGCTGATGACCAGCCTTTATAACCGTGGGCAAATTACCTTACTTTCTTTGATGGAGATGAGAGGATTGGATTAGACAGCCACTAAGGCCCTTTCCAGGTTCTGTGGTTATATGTCAGTCAATACTTGTTGGCTGCTTCAATATTATAGTGAAAATTGGGCCATTTGGAATTTATTCTGGCTTCATTTTGTGACTTTGGGAAAATTGCTGAACTTCTCAAAGTTCTTGCCTGGGAGCGCTTTGAGAATTGTATTTTGATTCTTTTCAAGACATTTATGTAAACAACATAATAAAAGCATTTAAGGTACACGTTTCAGCATGTGCATTTTAATATTGTTTCAAGCTGCAGTTAAAACTTCATTAATTAGGACTTTGAATTAAATTAGAATTGATGGTAGTTTTTTGTTTTAACATGGATTAGGCAGAAGCTTTCATTTGTTTAGTAAACTATTCATATAAAGTGCATATTAGTAGTGGGAACTCTTCTCTGCACCCTTAACCTTAGAGATCGCTCATGGTACAGTGGATGGAGCACTGAGTCGCTTAAGCTGTTTGCCTCAACTGTAAAATGGGGGTGATAATAGGACCTACTTTACAGTTTTGTTGTAAGGATCAAATGAGAAAATACTTGGAAAAAAATGCTTAGCACAGTGCCTGGCACATAGTAGGTGCTATGTAAATGCTCCTTCCTTCCCTTCCCATCAACCCCAGGCCTTACAATTTCATCTCCATGTAGTCTCTAATCTATCTCTAGCCTTGACTTCTTTCCCCAGCTCTGTTCCACATTTCTCTGTTAGACATCTCTTCCTGTATCTCCCATTAATACCTCAAACCTAACATTCAAAACTTGACTATTTTTGTCAGTGTCAGTCATGCTAAAATCTCATCTTTGACTCGTCCTTGTCCCTTAGCCCTCATATTCACCGAATTTGAGAGTTGAAAGGCGCCTTGGAGCTTTCTCGTCTAAACCATACCCCAAAGAAATCTCTACTATAGCACACAAATGATTGTCTATCCTCTGTTGAAGTCCTCCACGGCCTCTTAAAGCAAGTCATTGTATTCTTGGACAGTTCTAATGATTAGGAAGCTTTTCCTGACATCAAGCTGAAATGACTCTTTGCAACTTCAACCCATAGTTCTCGGTTCTTTGACTCTTCTTCCCCACCCCCCATCAAATAGGACAATTCTACTCCCTCCGGCCTCTTCTAGCCTTTCACATACTGGATGACGATTATGCCCCCCTTTCCTTTTCTCCAGGCTAAACATTCCTAGTTCTTTAACCAGACCAGATAAGTCATGGACTCAAAGTCCTTCATCGTTCTGGTTGCCCTCCTCTGGACGCTTTCCAGTTTGTCAACATTGTTTTTAAACAGCTGTGCTCAGAAATTCCGTCCATCGCCAAGGCTGTTATTGCTAACTCCAAGATGCTTCTTGGATCTGTGTCTCTCTTTTCCATTTTCACTACTACTACTATCCTAGTTCCAGTCCTTATTACCTCACACTTAAAATTATTACTGAAACAACCTCCTAATAGTTTACCTGGCTTTTTATATCCATTGTTGTCTGTAATATGAAGTGCTATTACAGTAACTTCCCTAAGCCTTTGCCTTATCTTACTGTAGACTCTGGCCTCACTTCCTGACCATCTCTGAACCATGTCATCTGCTCTGTAGCCATCATCCTCATCTCCCTCCCACTGGAACTCTAGATTCCACTCCTGAGTCCTCCAGCTCCAGTAGGTGACCTTTTGCCTTACCATGTTGGGACCTCTTGACCTTCAGGCCTCTTGACCATTTCCTTGTTGACTGGTAGTCAGTAAACATTTATTAAGTACCTACTGTGTGTGAGCTGCTGTGCTTAGTGCTGGGGCTACAAAGAAAGGCAAAAAGAGTCTTTGCCGGGCCAGGAGCTCACAGTGTGATGGGGAGAACGTGCAACAAGATATACACAGGATAAATTAGAGATAATCAGAGCGTAGGCACTAGAATTAAGGGGTATAGCACACAACTCAGTTCATTCCGCCTCCCCCCCCCACCCCCGGGCCACTTTCCAGCACGCTTTTATAAGATTGTTGTATTCTTTCATTGGTAGGTAGGCTCCTTGAAGTCTGGGACTGTCTTACTTGCTTCTATTTGTATCCCCAGGGCCTAACACAGTCCCTGGCATCAAACTGACCAGGACATTGCTCTTTAATAATGGCTTGTCAAGTCAGTACACACAAACACTTTAGCTGCCATTCAGAGCTTTCTGTAATATGTTCCTAGACTGGGGTTTGTTTTGTTTTGTTTTTAGCTTTTTCTGATTCTCTCTATCTATACTTTGTACTACAGTGGAACTGGACAATTAACGATTCTTTAAACAGTTCCTTAAATTTTCAGTTTCCTTAATTTTTTTTCTATTATTACTTCCTATCTTAACCCCAGCTGTGCCTTTCAAAAGACCCAGCTCAAAAGGTTTTCTGTTTCAAAAATCTTACCCTGACTCCTACCCCAAAGTGATCCTTTCCCTCTGAATTTTTGTAGTCCTTGATGTATAGCTCTTATGGTAAATATCATGTGTTGCTTTATATTATAGTTAAAGAAATCTAAGTTGAACAAATATTTATCAAGCAGCTATTATGCTCCAAGGCACTGTGCTGAATAGATACAAAGATTTAACAAAGTACACACAGCCTGCCCTTAGGTAGCTTACATTCTATCTTCCCTACTAGGAGGATACATGTACACAGATAAGGATGAGACAAAGTAGGAAGTGATAGGAGATATAGGCTAGATCCCAGCAAAGTATCCTAGTAAAGTTTAAGAGAAAAAACCCTTTCAGCTAGAGGTAGTCACAGGAGGTGTCTCAGAGATGGCATTTGAGGGGGAGCCTTAGAGAGAAGAAAACATTCTGAAAGAGTGTGAGTAAAGGGAAATATGAAATAATACTGGAAAAGTTAGGTTGGAAACATTATAGAAGAACTTAAATGCCAGGCTAAAGGTTTGTATTTTATCCTAAAGTTAATAGGGAACCATGGAAGATCTTACCAGTATCTCACCTATGACTTTGGTTTTTTCTTCCTCTGTGAGTTTGTAAGCAGTGAACTCTTAGCCATCTTTGTATTCCTCATCTGTTAAATGCTTTAATAAATATTTGTTGAATGAATGAAAATTGGGGTGGAATGTCTTAAATTATTGAAAAGAACAAACCCTTTTCCCAGCTACTAAAGCACTCCTACAAGCAGTCTGTCACACTTCATTTCACATGGTAATTACTTATCTGTCATTGAAGTGAAATGACATGGGAGTCACTAGGCCCTGGATGGACTGCTTGGCCCTGCCACTTTATGACTAACTTTGTGGCTTTGGGCAAGTCCCTTATACTGTCTCAATCTCAATCTCATCTGCAAAGTAGGGATAAAAGCCACCTGCCTAACTACCTTACAGCTTTGTTCGAATGAGATAATTATAAATGCACTTTAGAAAGTATTTCTACAAATATAAGGTATTAATTACAAATATTCCTCATCTCTTCACTGAAGATATCCTGAGGCCCTTTCCTGAGCAGCACTTTGTTCATCTAGTTTTAAGTATATAATTGGAGGTAATAACTTTAATTTCTTTAAAAATATACATTTAAACTTGAACTTAGAGTGACCTTTCTTTAGTTCAAATCGTTACCCACAAGATACAGAAGAACCAGAGGAAAGCCTCCATTGTGTTGTCTGAATCCTCTGTGTAGAACTGATGGAAGGTCAGGGGCAGGAGAGTGGGTTGTGTTTGTATGTGGAGTGCTCATATTGATGAAAGCAGAGATCTGTCCTTAAATTGGAGGCTACAAATTGGGTTTTTTTTTCTTTTAATCTTTTTATAACTGTGTATCAATATAATTGTTTTCCCTTGTGATCCTTGTATGTATTTTATTTCATGCATAAGTTTTTTGGTTTTTTTTTTTTTACTTCTAAAATGCTTTCAAACTAGAAATTTTGGGGGAGAGAAACTGTTTTCAAGGTCTTCAGATTTTAGGCATGTGTCAAAGAAAGCCAAGTGTCATAAAATTTGGGTGCTTTTATTTACAAGGTATGTTTTATTTAACTGCATTTAGTGCCTTGTTATCTGGGATTTTCAATGTGTTCTGTGACTACTTTTTATATACCCTCTAACAGGAGGGTGAGGGCCTTTTGAAATAATGTGTGCAGTGTTTGTTTATACCTGTGACCTTGGGGATTCTTTTTTGTCTACTTTTATTGTGTTTTCTTCTTTCAGGATCTGATGTCCCAAGGCAAGTCCTTATCGTGATTAAAAGGAATGAAAGTGTCTACTGTCAGTTGCTAGGTTTTGACTCCAGACTATAATCCTGTTCATAAAAATCCAGGGATTTTTGACTACAAGGCTTAATGAAAGTCTCACTCAAATGAACTGTGCTGAGTCTGGTAGTTTATATATTTGAACAACTAACTTCTCTTGGAGAGGTGTGTGCATGCATATATACGTGTATGGGTAGGTATAATCTATACAAACTCACTGGTTTTAGATGCTGAGTTTGAACAGTACATATATATTATACACACATATTTATATCTACTTATTTATCTTGGTACTCTGAAGATCTTTTCATTTTCTGTGGTATATTCTTTTGAGTTATGATGCAATTGGGTAATCATTGTCATGGTTACTTTTAAAAAAAAACAACCCTCTATTTAAAGAAAGAGTGATCCTGGCATAATGGATAGAGGGCTGCAGGGCTTCAATTCCAGAAGATCTGGGCTGAAAACTTATCTTTAACACTGACTGTATGGCTATGGGCAAGTCATTTCACCTCCTATGAAACTCAGATAACTCCCCAAAACTTATTTTCTGGTTAATGGTTTACACCTGGAAATAAAAAGAACTCTACTTCTGTTAAAAAGTTGCTTTAAAACAAAACAAAAGCCTCTCACATTAATTGAGCCTTAAGCCTGATGCATTTTTATTTTAAAAATTATTATATTTGATAAAACTTTTCATCTATACCCCTCATACATCTCTCAATTGCCTTTTTGGCTACCTGCAGTTTAAAATCTGCAACGAATGTGGCATTCTATGATTGCTGGCCATATACTGTTGCCAAAATAATAGTAGTTTTAAAAAGATGTTTCAGGGAGCAGCTTGGAATCAAGAATCCCCAAAGTGCTGCATGTTTTCCCAGCTGAAGTCCAAATTGTTCTCCTTCCTGTTTTGTTCTGGGCCTAGCTCACTGCTCATCTTCAATGTCTATCCAAGATTTGGTCCTGATGGATTTAATTTAATGATGTATGGCTCTTGGAAAAGGATATGAGCTGGTTGTATAATAGATAGACTGGTGAAAAGAGTACCCATCAACTGTTTTGTAGAAAGCAGAAGGAATCATGTTAGATGGATCCTATGTGGAGGATTTATGGGAGGATCATAGATTTTGGGGGCATCTAGGAGGCTCAGTGTAGGGAGTGCCAGGCCTGGAGTCAGGAAGACTCACCTTCCTGAGTTCAAATCCGGTCTCAGACCTCATTAGCTGTGTGACCCTGGGCAAGTGACTTCACTCTTTTTGCCTCAGTTTCCTCATCTGTAAAATGAACTGGAGAAGGAAATGGCAAACCACTCCAGTATCTCTTCCAGAAAAACCCCAAATGGGGTCACGAAGAGTCAGACACAACTGAAAATGACTGAACAACAACAGCAACAATAAAACATAGATTTAGGTCCAGGAGGGACCTTAGAGGTCATCTGATCTAACCTCTTCACCTCATAAAAATAAATTTTCTCAGCTGATTTAGGATTATCATCACTGTTACATTTCTATCATGTTTCAAGAGGACAGAATTTTGAGTGAAGAACTGAGTTTCAGTCTTGGCTTAACACTGTAGAGTGCAATCATGGGCAAGTCACTTACCTTCTCTGGGCATCTGTTTCCCATCTGTAATAGGAGGGCATTGGATGAGGTGATTTGCAAAGTCTCCTTTAGCCCCAATAGATGGAATCTGCTGGAATAGGATCATATAATTCTGATTGTAACTGATAATTTGTGTCCTAATATGTACCTAATTTTTCATACTCAAAATTCTCTCTGAAAGAATGGAACATAAGACTTGGGAAAGAGTTTATTGGTGAATCAGAAAATTGGGCTTTCCTGAGCTATTCTTAGAATCTTGTTTTCAAATGTGTTGTAAAATCCTCTGGATTTCTTTGCATTACTGCTGTATATTTGTACCGAAATTATTCCTAGCTCTTATAAACTTACACTAGCATGCTTCACTGGGTATAGTAAATGAAAGTCCAAAGCAGCTTACCCAAGTGGCAGACCATTAGGTGACTTTGTAGTGGCCCAGGACAAGGCTCATCTCTAATTTCCTACAGTCAAGTAGTTTGATGTTTTTTTGGTCTAGATTTAAAACGGGAATAGGGATGGGGCAAATGAAAAGTTGTTCACCAAATTCTAAAATACCACAACTAGGGCCATAACTTGAAGTTTAAAGGAAATTAAATATTTAATCAAAAGAAAGTTTTTTTGTTGGTTTTTTTTTTAAGGCAATTGGGGTTAAGTGACTTGCCCAGGGTCACACAGCTAGTAAGTGTCAAGTGTTTGGTCTGAGGCCAAATTTGAACTCAGTCCTTCAGACTTTGGGCCGGTGCTCTATCCACTGTGCCACCTAGCTGCCCCCCCAAAAGAAAGTATTTTACATAGAAAAGTGTATACTTAAAGAATCTGGTACTCCAGCCTGAAAAATAAGTTTGAGAAAGGTTTAAATAAATTCATGCAGAGTAGATCATGAGTGAAAAATCATTTATTAAGCACTTATCATATGGTTTAGCTGGAGATAGAAATAGAGAAATGTAGACAGCCCTTGCTCTCAAGGAGCTCGTAATCTAATTTAGGAAAACAAAACATTAAAAGAAAGCTCATCTGTAGGGTATTCGGAAAGGCAGTGGTTGGGAGGCTGACAAGGTGTCCTTAGGTAACAAAAGTAAGTCAGATGAAGATTCTGGGAGACTGCAGGACAAGTAGTCAGGCTTGGCAGCCTTCCTTGTTCAAAGGAGTAGATTTGTTGACTTCCATTGAAGGGGTAGAAGTATAACCTGGACCATAAAAAGGTTTTTGTTTTTGGTTTGTTTTTTTTTTTGGTTGTAAACTATGCGAGCCAGTTGAACATCAAATATATACCCTCACTTAGTGCCAACTAAGCCCCTATAAAGAAAGTTCCTCTAGGCTTGGTTTTCCTATTAAACAAAAGAAGATGAGTATTTAGCCCTGTAGTCACCACCTGAGTATTTTTTGTTCTTTCTTTGACCATTTCACAAAAGTAGACAAACTCCTTGTAGATAGGGACTTTTTTATCTTCATAGTCCTAAGCCTAACACAGTGCCTTGAGCAATATAGATATTTAATGTTTGTTTAATGGAATATTAGTGGTAGATTTCATTTATTCCCTTACTTTTTTTTTAAGTTGGGCATGCTAACTGTTTGATTTCAAAATAATTTACAAAATAAGTTTTTTAACTCTCTTGATCCCTTTTCTCTCTATGTACTCTCTTGGTGATATCATCAGTTCCTATGGGTTCCATTATTTCTACACAAATGACTTCAGGTCCGTATACCTAGCCATAGTCTCTTCTGAGCTCCAAGCTTGTAGTGCTATCCACCCACTAGACATACTAAACTAGATGTCCCATAGGGATCTCAAAATTCAACCTGTCTAAAATAGAACTCATTGTCTTTCTTCTAAAACCCAGCCCTCTTCCAAACTTACCTTTTTCTGTCAAAGGGATACCACTATCCTTCCTGTCACCTAGCTTTACGACCTTGGAGTCCTCTTTTGAGACCTCATTCTCCCTTACCCCTCTGAATCCCAGAGAATTGGCAGGGTAGTGATGTCCAGTGTGTCTAAAAAGATAGGTTGGGCACAGGTTGTCGAGGTTGTGTTAAAATCTAAACACAGGACTTTATTTTTGATTCCTGAGGCACAACAGGAAGCCACTAGAGTTGTTGCCATGGTCAGGTCTTTGCTCACTTTGGCAGCTGTGTGGAAGAAAGATTGGAATTAAAAGGATTTGTGGCAGGGACATCAGTGAGGAGGCTGTTGGGTTAATGTAGGCTGAAGAGCCTGAACAAAAGTTCTGTGGGACAAAACGGGCCTGTGGGAGTGGAGAGAATGGGATGGATATGAGACCTATTCTACAGTCTTCCCCTCAGGCATTCATCAGGCCAGTCAAACTGACCTCATTGCTCGTCTTCACACAGAGGATCCATGCTTTTGAACAGGCTGCGCCTAGAACAAACTCTCCCCTTCTGTGCCACTTAGAATTCCTGGTCCCCTTCAAAGTTCCGCTTAGATGCCACCTCCTTCCTGATCCTGCTCCCCATTCTCCCAAATACTAGTAGTGCCTTTTACCTGAAATTGCCTTGTATTTTTCCTTTAAATATATTTTATATTTAGAATAGATAGAATTTGAGCTCTTTGAGGTCTAGTATTATTTTTTTAAATCTTTGTATCCCCAGTAATAAGTGCTTAATAAATACTAGTTAATTTCTTATATGGAAAAATAATTACAGAAATGACATCAATTGAAATTGTTAAGATTTTGACTGGTTGTACATAAACCAGTATTGGATAGTTTGTGGGGTCTATCAGTAAATGTTTCAAGTGTCTGCCTTGTGTCGGGCACTGTGTTAGGCCCTAGAGTTACAAAAACAAAAGTGAGAAACAGTCTTGTCCTTAAGGAGTTTGCAGGCTATGGGAGTATGGATGGGACATGCACATATTCTGTATGTAGATCTATACAAAATACATCAACGTGATTTTGAGTGGAAGGCACTAGTTGCCTCAGGAAAGGCCTGTATTTGCTCACTTTTACTGAGTTCATGAACTTGGACAGACTCTGAGAGATAAAGGAGGATAGAAGGGCCTGGCGCACCATGGTCCATGGGGTCGCAGAGTCGGACGTGACTGAACAACGACGACACCAAGTTCTTTTCCAAAACCTTGTTGCTCGAGTTCATCGGAGATCTTAGGCTCCATTTCAGAAAGCTATAAATTATAGATCTGTGCACTCTCTTACGTAACGGTTTAAAAGTATTTCTTCATTTCAGAGATATCAGATCTTGGTTGCCCATCTTGTTATGCATTGTTAATGGAATGAAGTAAATATTTGACCATAAGTTATATTCTTGACTCTTTGTGCATGTTTGGTGCAACAATGTTCTCATTAAAAAAATTAACTCTTTTAAGAAATTGCCTACTTGTTCAAGTTAATAGGTGCCTCTTTTTACCTGACCAGGAATTCTTCTTCATTCTAAGGAGAAACTCGACACACGATGGGAGACGACAGTGAGTGGGTGAAACTACCTGTCGATCAGAAATGTGAACACAAGGTGAGGTTCTTTTCCCTCCAAACCTTCACTATATTTTCTGTCATTGACTTACCAGCACTTAGTGGTTTGTTAATTTGGAAATAGTTCGTGTTTCTGGTGTATCTCTATGGCAGAATTTGTTTAAAAGGCCTGTTTCAGGATCACTTTCCTGATGACCTGCCCAGGTGTGTTATAGAGGATTTTCTAAATGATGTGTGAGTGGCCACACTCTGATTAATTGAAATGACCCATCTGGAGAAGAGATGTTGGGACACACTGTCATCCTCTTTGTAGAGAAGTGGGAAGCGGCAATGGTGCGGAAACTTTCTTCTGCTCTGTCTGGTTGTTAGGGAGAGGTCAGGGGGTAAGATATTGACAGATGTCTAATTTAAAAATCATGTCGCATTAAACTTTTTAGAACAGGCTGCACTGGACACAAGATGGGGCACTGGGGAAGAGAAGGAGGTCTTGGAACTCCTCAGATTTTACTGTAATATGCTTTACTAGTGAAGTTGTAGGCATGTTAAACCCACAAAATGTCAAGTCATTGAATTCAGTAAGCATTTACTAAGGGTTTAAGAGAGATGGCAGATAGGGAGTAGATAGAGTATAGGCCTGGGATTCAGGAAAACTGGGGTTTAAACTCTCCTTCTGACACTTTGGCTGTGTGATCCAGCAAGTTACATTAACATCACATTGCCCCCAGCCAGCTCTTGAGAAGTGTTAAGTTGCCAGTCTGCATCAGTAGGAGTTTCGATACAGGGAGTTGCCCACAGGGATTTATAAAAAAAGAATTTATTCTGGATTATGTGCCAGGCACTATTCTAGGACCCGAATGTACAAATAAAAGATGAGGTAGTCCCTGCCTTCTGAGAATTGACATGCTAATGGAGGAGACAACGGGAGGAATGGTGATCAGAGAAGGTGGTTTTGGTCTGGATTAGGGTCATCAAAGTATGATAGATCCAGATTTGGCCAAGCAGCCAACCCTGGAGGGATGGGGTATAACAGTTCATTTTCTCGCCCAAAAGCAGTCAGAATATTGATTGGATTACTATTCTCCCAGCAAGAGGTAAAAGGTGAAGGTGAAGGTGAAGGTGGGTGGTAGGCAGCTGGAGGACAAATGACAAGTCAGATGTCTAGAAAATGGAGAAGCAGGCCCACCTTACAGCCCTCTGGGATACCTCGGTTATTTCCCACTATAAATAGAATGTCTAGTAGGGGGCTCAATAACTTTTTGGTTATTTTAAAGCAAAATAACCTTCTTTATAGCTGTATTCACCATTCAGTTCAAGAAAATTCCAACTTTGCTCTCTTAATTTACATAAGACACGACCCCCAGTTAAACTTAGCAAGAATATTACTAAAAACTTGCCTGTCTGTAGTTTCTTCAGACTACATTTAATTTGTAGCTAAGACATTAAGAGGCAATATAAAGTTTTCTTTTTTTCTTTAATTGATTATTTTTAACGAGTACTTTCTGATTACTCCATTATTTTATCCTACCGACCTCTAATTCCTTTCTAATCTCATAAATATTGAAAAAAGAGGCAAAAATTATAGGACTTGTGAAGCTTTTTGCTTTGATTTAAAATTTGGGAGAACTAATTTTGTCCCTCTAGCGTTATTCTGCTTAATTTGATGAGACTTCTTTCAAAGTTGATTGGTCTGGTTACTGATAATCTTACACAATCACAGACTTATAATGGACTCCTTTATAATATAGGCTCTTTTAGTCCAACCCATGTCTGAACAAGAATCCCTTCTGCAATATTTCAGGCAAGTGGGCACCTTGCCTTTTCAGGGAGACCTTTAGAGATGGAGCACTCATTACTTCCTATCAATTAGCATGAATTTTTAGGAAGTTTTTCCTTATAGCCATTAATGATATCAATTAGTGCTAATAATTTTACCTTGCTTCACTGTTGAGAAAAAAAGTTTTAAAAGTTAAACAAATTATAAAGATTACTGCTTATTGCAAGGAGTGATAAACTCTTTTTTTTTTTTTTGAAAGGCTTAAAAAACAGACTAAAGAGCCATTCTGGATGGTTTTTGGTAGGTCCACTCCAGAATGTTGTAGGGAGCACTGAACCTGAGGGACTTGCATTAGAATTCTGGATCTGTCCCTTGCCATCTCTGTGACCTAGAATAGGCTACTTATTCCTACTCACTGTGCCTCAGTGTCCTTAGCGGTAAAATGAGATGATCCCTGAGGTCATTCTCAGACTTGGGATCTTGTGAATTCTTGTGGCAGGGAAGAAACGAGACCCAAAAGTCATTTGAAGACCTTTGCTACTATAGTAGGTACTGAGGTTATTACTCCAGTTTTATTCACTTGATTTTAAAAAATTTTCCTATAATGTAATGCCCTCCTCTATTCTGTATTTATTATGTATACTTAATATATGACTCAGTTAAAGAATGGAAATGTTCAACATAATTTGAGCTTGCATTACAAATGGTCAGGGGCATCATGAGAAGCAAATTTGTATTGTTCCTTATTTTGGTGTTACACCATGTTTGACTTATTTTTCTGATATATTATAAGAGGTAGCAGAGCATAGTAGTCAGAGCCAGAGAGACCTTGGTTCGAATTCTGTCTCTGACACACACATAAACCACCTGTGGGACCCTGGTTAATCTCTTTGTGCTCTAGACCACTCTCTAAGACTCTTAAGTTGTAGAGAAGGTGCTGACCTGCATCAGTAAAGGGATTGTGCTCACCTGGGAGTTCTCTGTACCAGTGAATTTATGGTCTATCCCTGTCCTATCTGAAGCAAATAGTCAATCAAGAGCTTTTTCTTCCTTAAGGTAGAATTTCTTTTTCCTTTGGTGTAATATCCCCAACTAACTTATTTTATTAGAATGAATAATGTACACATTTTTAAGCTATTCCTCCCATTTTGAGGTAACATAATAATCCTGTAATTGCTTCTCTCTTCAGTGAACGTCTTACTGTTAAGGGAACAAACCTAATTCTTTCCCTTGCCCATCTAAACTTAGGGGCAGGAAATCTATCCTTTTTCTTTTCTTCTTTCTTTTTTTTCCATTCTTATATTCCCCAGATCCCCTAGCAGGGTATCTTGTACACAATAAGGATTCAATAAATACCTCTTGACTGAGTGACAGATCTCTGGTTGCTCCCTAAATGAGCTTGAAACTTATTTGGCTATAGTCAGCAAGTTTCTGGTTAAAAATTAAAAAGTGTGATGATATGCAACTGCTTGGCAGTTATACAGGCAGATTTTTCAAGCAACCTTCCACATGCAGCCTTAGCAACATAATTTCTTTGCTCTCTCTGCTTGAATATTATCAAGAGAAGAAGCAACAAAAGGCCTATAAGCAGCAGGTCAGGGTTCAGTCATCGTGGCCAGTAAGAGATTGTTTCAGGTTTGTTTTTGCCCTGTTACATTGATAGCAACAAATTTGAGTTTGGAAAAACTTCTGCAAATTACTCAGGATTCTCTCTTTTATACCTCATTCTGAATTTATTGTATTCCCTTTTTGCATCTAGAATAGAATATAATGTAATCACATTTACTTTACAAAAACAGTTCACAGTAAACAGGAAAAAGGTACTTAAAATGTATATATCTATAAATAAAACTTATTTTCTAGCTGTGGAAAGCAAGATTAAGTGGATATGAAGAGGCCCTGAAGATTTTCCAGAAAATAAAGGATGAAAAGAGTCCTGAATGGTCCAAATACTTAGGATTGATCAAAAAATTTGTGACCGATTCCAATGCAGTGGTTCAACTCAAGGGATTAGAAGCTGCACTTGTCTATGTTGAAAATGCTCATGTGGCTGGAAAGTAAGTAGTTTCTTTCTACTTATTCTGGGTCCGGATGGCTTCTTATATACATACAGGGTGTCCCAAAAGTCTCAGGACAGTTTTGAGCTAATAAACCTATCCTGAAATCTTTGGGACACCTTATATGTTATCCTTGGTTATTAACATTTTAGAATATTTTACTGGAATTTTGAGTTTCTTGGAATTAGAAATACTGGAGTGATTGACAGTAATTACATATGGTTTTAGAGATAAAATCTAGACTAGGTTTTATTCAAAGTCCCTATGTTAACTTATGGTTCACAAATAGAAAATATACTTGGAGTAAAAAAGAAGACATGACAAGATTTGGGATTCATTTGAATTCTGACAGTTAAACAGATAAATGTATTTTCCTTTGTTGTCTTTTGTTTGTTCCTTTTTTGCATCTTTCTTGAAGCCTTTCTTCTGTAAAATAAAATGAATCTTTGTTTTTAACTATGATTTCAGGACCACAGGAGAAGTTGTGTCAGGGATTGTAAGTAAAGTGTTCAACCAGCCAAAAGCCAGAGCAAAGGAGCTTGGCATAGAGATCTGTTTGATGTATATAGAGATTGAAAAGGGGGAGGCCGTGCAAGAAGAGCTTCTGAAGGGCTTGGACAGCAAGAACCCTAAAATCACAGTGGCCTGTATAGAGACGCTGAGGAAAGCCCTCAGGTGAGCAGCGGGCTGTCAGCAGGAGGGCCTTTGGGAAACTTCACAGCCCTGTGAGCAGGAGTGTGATGAGGAGCCAATCTCTGGTTGACGTCATTCAAGCCTTAGACAGAAATGGGAACCACTGGGACTTAGCGTGTCCAAACCAGTGTGGGACTCAATAAGCCTGAGGTCTCTCAGTGTCATTGTTCCTCAGAGAGCTCTGTATAATGAATGATGAATTTCAGTCTTCGTTTGTCTCACCATCTTGACTAAATCCCTTCCTGATTAAAATAAACCAGATTAGTACTGACCTCAATTATAAAATTGCCCTTATTTTTTTTTGTGTGTATGGGAAGAGATTACCTCACTTAAATAAAGCACCTAAACCATTTCTCCCACCTCTATACCATCAGTACTTGTAGAGCTCAGTGGGTTGAAGTGCTGTCTAGAAGTACTGTGATTGGGCTGAGATGACAGTCTTTTGTCCTATGGTTGGGCCCTCTTGCTAAAGCAGTAACTTATTCGGTGCCATCCTAAAACAATGCTGTGCATCAGAGGTGTCAAACTCAATAAGAGGGCAGCATATTGACTTAGAAAACCACAAATTAAACATTTCCCAATTCCGTTTTAGTCTGATTTGGGCCCCGCACACTGAGGATTTGGGCTTCATGAGTGTGAAACCTCTGCTGTCTTTCATAGAAGCATACCAACTGCAGAACAGAAGAAAATTTAGCCTGCTGTGCAGCAGGTTATTCAAAGCCCAGAATTTCTTGCTGGCTTTAAATGAACTCTTCTGTGAATGGTATCTTTTTTGGGAACAAGCAGCTCTAAGGTGCTGTGGAAATCTGAATTACACAACCAGTAGTTTGTTCTCCTTTGCAGGCCCTGTGATCTGATACCATGTCCCCAGAAGTTTCCATATCAGAGTAGCTTCAGTGAAATGGTGTGTGGGAGGCACATTAGCGCAGTAGTGATCATTGCTGTTTGTGATCTGGCAAATGCCCTTAATCTTTTTTAAAAGTTACTGTCACGAGTATTTGTACTATGAAAGTATCTAAACTCAGACTCCATAAAGCCCTACCAGGCTATATGTGGCCCTCTAGGTCCTCAAGTGCGGCCCTTTGACTGAATCCAAATTGCACAGAACAAATCCCCTTAATAAAAAGATTTGTTCTGTAAAACTTGGACTCAATCAAAAGGCCACACACAAGGACCTAGGAGGCTCCATGTGGCCTTGAGGCTGCAGGTTCCCCACCTCTGCACCTAGCCAGTTATTTACATCTTAAGGGACTTTTGAAACTTTTTTACAACCTCACTTTGGCTAGATGTAGTATCATACCAGAGTGTAGTAGATATTTTTCTTGTAACATGTTGTCTTTGGAAATAGTCGTTAGTAAATTCCTAGCTAACATTCTTCAGATGTTGGGAAGAGAATTGACTGGCTGTTTGGTCTCTGTGCCAGTAGAATTCTTATGGGGGTGTGTGGGGGTGTGTGTGTGTGGGGGGGGGTGTTCGTGTTCACATGTGTATATGTATGTATATATGTTGGTATGTATATATGGTATGGTATGATCTTCTAAATTTAGCATCTTGGAGTTTTAAGTATTATAAATTACTCAGATTCTAAATTTTCTCCACATTTTGCATAAATAGTGTTTAAGGTGAAAACATGATTATATTTATTTTAAAATGAGCTTTAGACTTTTAAAACAACTTATAGAATCTAGCTCCTCTTAGAGCCCATCAGTCCAGCATCTCTTTTCTATTCCACCCATGACAGCCCTCTTGCCTATCGCATGTTATAGTGGTATCAGGGTGATGGGCATTGCATGGAGGCAGAGGGTCCCAATTCCTATTCTGAGTCTAGGAGTGCTACTAGAATCTCCTCATCCTTCTGTGATTCCTTTTGGGATTTGGATAGAGAGAAGCACCTATGTGTCTTTCATGGTGTTCCTAAGATCTAGAGCTGTCCCAATTTAGTCTGGTCCTTCTGTACCTCAAAAGTGACTTGAAACCCACAATTACGCCTAAGGACCAACCCTTCTCTCTTGAGTATCCTTCAAAACTCTTAGGGCAAGCCTAGATCTTGAAGGGCATATCTCTCCAGGGTTATGGTGGACGGTGCTCTTCTTCTGTTCTAGCCTGTTGGTGGATACTGATTCCAGAAATGTTTCCATTCTTATTCTTTGGACGAAGTCCCCATAGCTTTACGTGACCGGTGTCTTCTAGTTATTTGTTTATAGGCATGGAACCCTCCATTTTTCTGTGGTAATTCTTGAGTCTTGCCTAAGTAACAAAACAAATCTCTTCTGTTTGGGCCCCGATATCTGATTTCTCTGCTCCCCTCTTCATGATGGTCAGATGTGTGAAATGGATGGGAAAACAAGCCCTCATCTTAAGAAAAGCAGAAGTAACTGGTTGGGGAAGATGTTGTGGTTTTGAAGCTTCACGCTCCTTGTGATACGCTAGAAGCTGACCCTTGAAGCAGAATCAGCAGCACTTTTACTAAGCTGGTTCCCATTGTCCCCATAACCCAAGGCTAGAAGAAACTCTAAATATTATGTCCTAGATGACTAATGTCTAAACAGTTATTTCTGTAAATTTTTTATATATAAATTCCATGTCATGATTAGACAAACAGCCTTATGACTTCTCCATAGTTAGTGCAGTGGTTTTTAACCAGGGATCCTTGAGTGTGTGTGTGTGTTTGAGTTTTCAGTTTTAAAAAAACTTTTATGTTTTTCCTATCAAGGCAGAACACAAAAGAGCGCACTATTTTTGAGAGTGCTGAGTAATGGTAGCTAAAGTTCCTTGATGTCTAAAATGCAAGTTTGCTTAGATGAACTTTATGCTGTTCTGTCTTCACAGTGCCTAGCCTTCTTCATCTTGCAGGTGCCTTATCAAGTTCTAACTCTGGATTAACTCCATCTTCTACTCCTTCTCCTCCTGGGGGGAGAGTTACACAACAATTCTAACCAAATCTAACCATGAATGCGTGCCATCTCAGCTGGGCCTTCGCTGTCAAGACAATCCTTTAGTTCCTTCCTAATTGATTCTCTATCCTATTTCCTCCAGAAGCTGTTTCAAACCTTCTCTTCTTTCCTCAAGGCTCTCACACCCTGGCTTCCCCTCTCAACAAATTACTTTGCTTCATACTTGACTGAAACAATAAAGGTCATTCTCTTTTAGCCTCTTCTTTTCTCCTACACATTTCATAACCCTTTGACATCAACCCTGATTCTCTCCTTCTTTATTCTAGTCTCTACTAGAGAAGTGGCCTTTGCCCTAGCCACTGCCAACCCCTTCTACTTGCACCCTTGATCCTATCCCTTCCCACCTTTTTAAGGAGATTGTCCCCACAGGCATCCTCTCTCTATGTGCCACCTTCCTCCCTGCTGTCTACAGATATACCCAGGTCTTACCTATCTTTAAAAATAGAAAAAAGGTAAAACAAAAGCCAAAACTTATCACTTGGCTTCACCATTCGCATCCCCCTACCCCCAGCTGTATCATCCAGTAGCTCTTCTTCTTTTAAGAAAAAAACTTGCCCCTACTTCCTCTCGTCTCATTCATTTCTTATATGTTTAATTTTGGTACTAATTCAATATAATTGGTTTCTTTTGTAATATTTTTTATGCATTTAAAAACATGAGAAGGAGGCAGCAGATTTCACCAGACTCCCAAAGGGGTCTGTGACACAAAAAAAGTTAAGCCCTGAGCTGGTAGATTCCATCCTTCTCTTGATTGTATTATTTTTAGTAGTCATTGCTAGAAGCAGCTGGTGGGATAGTCACAGTGTCACCAGTAACATTTTGGGGACATATTGACTAAGGGGGGGATTGTGAAGTGGTGGTGTGAAATAAAGAGTCTGGGAACCTCAAAGACCATCTAGTCCACTTCACTCCCATTATAGATGAGGAAACTGTGTCCCTGGGAGTGAGTGAGCTGTGGAGGCAAGATTGAACCCTGCACCCTGGGTCTCGAAGACTTTTGCTCTGTTCCTCGCAGAGTATCCGACTCTTCCTTTTGGGTCCTCTCCTAGGATTCTTTTCTAACACTGTTGCCTCTCGCCCAAATCTACTCTTTACAAAAACGTCATAAGCAACCAAAGAAGCTACAAACAACCTATTGGAAAGTTAATAATATAATGACACTTGGACAATGTTTTAAAAAATTAAATAGAGTATCCTTGGAAGTCTGTATGTGCCCTCACTCGTCCCCCAGAAATTGAATTGAAATGAATTGAATTTAAAAAATCAGAATAGATTATAGGTCTGCTGGCTCAAAGTTTGGTTTGATTCACCAAGCTGTAAGATTTACATAGTTAGAGAACTATACAGTGATTGTTACAAAAGCATCTTGCCCTTCTCCCAGGCATGTGAATTATTTAGAATATTCCTCACCTCATCAAGCCCCAAAGCACCGGTGGGTTTGTTTTTGTATTTAGACTCTGTGCTGCCGAAACACTGGCCTTTATAAAATTCAAAAAATTGATAAGCAGGGTGATCAGGTTTGCTAAGTAAAATGTCCTGAAAAGCTGCTGGTCTAGATTAACTTCGTTGTGATGATAGAGCTGTAGGAGAGAAGAACGTTTGAGATCAAAGGCAATAGAGAATAACATCCTCGGAAAACTTGTTTCTGAGTGTCTGTAAAGATGCTTCTGGAGACCTGTTTTCTTCTTTGGCCTTTACCTCTTTGTCTTTCAACTCTGTCAGGGTAGTGGGGACTTAGTTGTGTGTATTAGTCAGCAAGCATTTATTAAGTGCTGATGGGCCAAGTTCTAGGAATACAGAAACAGTTCCTGCTCTCAAGGAATTTACATTCGAGAACCATGTACATCTATGTATGTGCAGAAAAAATATGATTTAGGAAAAGAGAGCACTAGGAATGTGTGTAGATAGATAAAAGTTTGAACTGATCAAATTATTTCTATATTTTTCAACCTTTTACTTCTAGTGAATTTGGTTCAAAAATTATCTTACTGAAGCCAATTATCAAAGTGTTGCCAAAACTCTTTGAGTCACGAGAAAAGGCCATTCGAGATGAGGCCAAATTAATTGCAGTGGAGATTTACAGATGGATTCGGGATGCTCTGAAAGCTCCGCTACAAAATATAAACTCTGTCCAGGTGAGGCCCCACCACCTGTTTTTGTTATCCTCTGGTACAGAAGAGAGGGCTGTGTCATGAACATGTGTCTCCAAAATCCATTCTCACATTTTCTTCATCCTTGTGATGTCCTCAGAGCATCATTAATTCTTTTCCTCTGCTGGTGCTCACCCCCGTCAGTTTGCTACCACTGTGGTAACTAATGGGATAGAACGTCCTTATGTCCCTGTTGCTGAAGGACAGGCCTTTAAATATGTCATATTAGGCTTTTATTGTGTGGAGTTACTTTTTGAAGGACACAATATGGCTCCTAAGTGATGCTTTGAAATAACAGGGCGGCTGTATGAATATCTTGTTTTCATTTTTTATAACTATATCAAGTTGGGATATAGTTCATAATAAACACAGTGACTTAAAAGTTCAGGCTCTTCTTTGTGGGCAGCTTGAAATCTAATGCCCTAGAGCACACTGGATGCAATTTAGATTTTCTTTTTTCATTTTGTTGGGTCTATACAAAATAAATGGGTTGAGACTATATCATCTGATGAGAACATTGTCTAGTGATGATGGAGATTTGGAAATAAGTTCTAAAACAATGTGTGGTTTTGTAGTTGAAGGAACTAGAAGAAGAATGGTGCAAACTGCCCCCAGGGGCTCCTAAACCTACTCGGTTCCTGCGCTCCCAGCAGGAGTTGGAAGCAAAGTTGGAACAGCAGCAGTCTGCTGGAGGAGATGCTGAGGGAGGTAAGCTCTGCACCCTCCTACTGATCAAATCCCCAAGCCTCCTGTGGTCTTTCTTCTCCTCTCTGCTTACTGGCCTCCCTGGCTTCCTTCTTAATTCTAGCACCTTCCCTCATTGCTGTTCTTCCTGAAAATGGCTTGTTTGCTTGTTGTCTCCCTCATTAGACTGTGAGCTCCTTCAGAACTTTGTGGTTGTTGTTGGTTGAGTTCCTTTTCAGTCCTCTCCGACTCTGTGTGACCCCATTTGGGGTTTTCTTGGCAAAGATAGTGGAGTGGTTTGTCATCTCCTTCTCCAGCTCATTTGACAGATGAGGAAACAGGCAAATGGGGTGAAGTGACTTGCCCAGGGTCACACAGCTAGTAAATGTCTAAGACCAGATTTGAACTCAGGAAACTGAGTCTTCCTGACTCCAATCTGGGCACTCTAAACACTGCACCACCTGACTGAAATAACTAAATAACATCTTCCTCGAGGTCAGGGACTGTCTTTTGCCTCTTTTTTGTATCTCCAGTACTTAGCAGAGTGCCTGGCACATAGTAGGAGCTTAATAAATGCTTATTGACTAACTGACCTACTTACCGCTTCCTTTTTTTTCTCTCCCTATTGACTTTCTGTCTGTCCTTTAGATTCAATTCAGAAGCCATCTTGAGGCATCTTTGTTTTCCACTACTTGCTTTCATGCCCCTTTGCTCCATGTAGTGATAACACACTTATATATATTACAGCTGTCTGCGTTAGGATCTTATCTTTTTACTAGAATGTAAGCTCCTTCCGGGTAGAGATGTCTACATTTGGTTTCTCCTGTGGCACTTAGCACAGTACTTTGTATACAATAGGCATTTAATACATGTAGCCCTTTGGTTTTGAATTGTGAAGCTGATTTTTTTACCGTGATATGCATAAGAGACTAGCAAAGTTAGTCTTATCATCTAAGGCTACTAGGAGTCAAGAAAGGGTCTGTTGCATGCCACCCACGTGGCTGTTCCCATTCTGTCCCAGAAGATCCAAATGAGATATAGGAAAGGATTGAAACTTCTGTTTTATTTCCTAAGTTTTCTCCTCTTTGCAGGAGGTGATGATGGTGATGAAGTGCCACAAATAGACGCTTATGAGCTATTAGAAGCTGTGGAGATACTTTCTAAGCTTCCCAAAGACTTTTATGACAAAATTGTAAGTTACCAATAGACTTGTTAATTTTGGATGACTTCGAAACAGTCACCTATTGAATTACAAACACGTATTCAAGCTTATTCCTTCTTATGATCATAGGAGAAAATGGTTAAGAGGGTGTCCATCATGTGAGAAACTGGCCACTGAGAGTAGTAGAACTTGGCTTGGTGTGTGATGACTAAGTTGGTGGTCGTGCTAAGACTTTGAACATCATCACTGCATCATCGCTGCAGGTGTACTAAGGAATTTCTGTGACAGTGATTCTTAGTGACATTTCTTGGCTATTTGAGACTTTTGCTTAGTTTCACTTTCTTAAATAAACAGATCTATACAATATTGTATGGCAACTCATACTGTGGTGCTTGCTCACTGAAAAACACTGAAAATTTGATTACCAAACTTCCTTGGGAAAATAATTTGTGAAGAAAAAAAATCTTGACATAGCCATGGTGTTATAACCTGTGGTGCTTCAGTTACAGCTGAATTCCTCACTTTGTCCTGCTCTTTGTAACCACCGTGTTGTTCATACACTATCACTTGTCTTTATTAGGCATAGAGGCTGAGCTTTCCTACTTGTAAATACCGTTTAAGCTTTATGTGACTTTTACTGTGTCCTCTGCAGGAGGCTAAAAAATGGCAAGAGAGAAAAGAAGCGCTGGAGGCTGTAGAAATACTGGTGAAAAACCCCAAACTGGAAGCTGGAGATTATTCAGATTTAGTAAAAGCACTGAAGAAGGTAAATCTGGGTCATTGGAGTGTTCAAAATGTGTCTTCAAAATCGAGACATTAGCATTGCTTATCTTTCAAACAGTTTCTATTTTGTCTCTAATATTATTTCTTTATAGAAGTATGATTAGTAACAGTGGAGGGGAAGAGGGCGGAGGTGAGAGAGAATGAGTGAATCTTACTCTCATCAGATTTGGCTTAAGGAGGGAATAACATACACACTCAATTGGGTATGGAAATCTGTCTTACCCTACAGGGAAAGGGGAGGGAATGATAGAAGGGAGGGCAGATTGGGGGTTATCAGAAACGAACACTTTTGAGGAGGGACAGCATCAAAGGAGAGAATAGAAAAAACGGGGTGGGGGGTGGGATAGGATGGAGGGAAGTATAACTAGTCTTTCACAACATGACAATTATGGAAGTGTTTTGCATGACTTCACATGTATAACCCATATCAAATTGCTTGCCTTCTAAATGAGGGTGGGTGGGGAGGGAAGAAGGGAGAAAGTTTGAAACTCAAAGTTTTAAAAACAAATGTTAAAAATTGTTTTTACATGCAACTGGGAAATAAGATATACAAGCAGAGGGATATAGAAACCTAAACTGACCTACAGGAAAATAGAAGGGGATGGGGATAAGAGCAGGAGGGGTGATAGAAGGGAGGGCAGATTAGGGGAAGGGGTATTCAGGATGCACACCGTCTTGGGGTGGGGGGAGGGGAAAGGTGGGGAGAAAATTTGGAACTCAAAATCTTGTGCAAGTGAATGTTGAAAACTAAAAATAAATTAATTAATGGGGAAAAAGAAGTATGATTAGTAATACTTCTTGAATAAATAAATGTTTCTTCTGGAGTTGATTTTGTATTCCCTTAGGTTAGTTTGGGGTGTTGATTTTTTTTTTCCCCCAATTATTTGAAGCAGTGGGCCATTGTATTTTCAGACCTCTAGCATGTTATAGGCAATGAGGTAGCTTGTTATGAGGAGGGTTTTTCACTTCCATAAATCTACAGAATGGCTTATTTAAAATAGGTTCCATTTAACAGAATGGAGTTCACTATAAGAGCAGTGCTTTTGTTTTCAGTGTCAAATGGGCAAGAGGATGTGGCTCTGGTTTTGAATTATTGAGGCCTAAGTTGAGTATGACTGTATCTCTTTATACTTAATGGCTTTCATGAAATCTGAAAATACAGCTCTAGCCTGTAGGGATAAGAGTACAGACTTTGGAGATTATCTGAGAGGAGAAACCTCTGCCTCCAGATTTAGGGTATTCACCTTCATTGTAGGGCTTCAGGAAAGGTGATGGGTTGGACCTGATGTCTTCTAAGGTTCCTTCCAGCATTAAATTGGCACAGGGCCTTGCAATGCTCGTTAGCTGACTGAGAGCCTGTGACTGTGCCCTGCATTTGCGAAGTGAAGTAAATCATGAAAAACATTTAAAATATCTGCTTGCTGCAGACTCCTGCTATGAGAGTATAACAAGCTTTGTTAATGAGTGATCTTGGGATTGTGAATCTGAATCTAGCCTCATAGCACGAATCTTATAGCTCTACTGCATAGGCAATAGAGTGGCAAAATCCAGGGCAAAGGGAGACTTTTTTTTTTTTTTAAATTAATTTATTTTGAATTATCAACAATCACTTCCATAAGCTTTTGAGTTTTAAATTGTTCTCCCCCTCGCTTCCCACCTCCCTCCCCAAGACAGTGCTCAATCTGATATGGGCTATACATATATATTCTTATTAAACATATTTTCACATTAGTGGTGTTGTAAGTAAGAATTAGAACCAATAGGAGGAACCACCAGAAAGAGAAAACAAAACACAACAGAAGAAAAAAAAATAGCAAATAGTATGCTTTGATCTGCATTCAAACTCCATAGTTCTTCTTGTGGATAGCATTTTCTATCATGAGGCCTTTGGAGATGTTTTAGATCCTTGTATTGCTGAGAAGAGTTAAGTCTATCAATATTAGTCATCTCACAACGTGACTGTTATTGTGTACAGAGTTCTCCTGGTTCTGCTCACTTCACTCAGCATCAGACCATACAAGTCTTTCCAGGTTTTTCTGAAGTCAGCCTGTTCATCATTTCTTATAGCACAATAGTATTCCATTACATTCATATACCACAACTTGTTCAGCCATTCCCTAATTGATGGGCATTCTCTCAATTTCCAATTCTTTGCCGCCACAAAAAGAGCCGCTGTAAATATTTTTGTACATGCAGGTCCTTTTCCCATTTGTATGATCTCTCTGGGATATAATCCTAGAAATGCTGTTGCTAGGTCAAAGGGTATGCACATTTTTATAGCCCTTTGGGCACAGTTCCAAATTGCTCTTCAAAATGGTTGGATCATTTCACAACTCCACCAACAATGCATTAGTGTTCTAATTTTCCCACATCTTCGACCTTTTCTTTTATAGGCCTGATTGCTACAGGAAAAAGTATGCCAGGCTAGGGGTCTAGTCCTGGCTCTGATGCTGACTAGCTGTGTTCATTTGGACTTGTCACCTTATCTCTGATTCTGAGTCATGAGATGGGCAGAGAGTGCTAGGTACTTTCTGGGATCTTCTCGGTTCTAATGGTTTGATTGTTTCACTCCTGCTGTGACCCTCAGGGGAAGAAAATCCGTCCTTTCAGGTGTTTTCTATTTTGTCCTTTAAGTTTTCAACATTCACTTTTATAAGATTTTTGAGTTCCAAATTTTTTTCTCTCTCCCTCCTCTCCCCCCCTCCCCCAAGACAGCAAGCAATCTGATAAAAGTTATACATGTACAATCGTATTAAACATATTTCCACATAGTCATGTTGTGAAAGAAGAATTAGAACAAAAGAGAAAAGTAACAAGAAAGAAAAAACAAACAAAAAGAGAAAACTGTATGCTTTGATCTGTATTCAGACTCCATAGTGCTTTCTGTGGCTGTGGATAGCATTTTCTATCATGACATTTCATCTCTTTAAATTAAGACTAGAGATCATAATATTTGGTTACAATTTTTTATAAACATGCTTCAGTTGTATGTTATAGCCTTTCATTCCTCAATTCCCTTATGCCCAGTGAAGAGAAGGAAAGATGGTGAGAAAGAAACATCAAAAAGAGAGTAAATTGAAAGAAGAAGAAAACTTGGAGAAAGGTTCTTCCCGTCCTCCTCTCTCCTCTTTTCTGTGCCTAAGGACACCCTTGGTATAGGGAGCATGAATCCCTGTAACTGATTTTCTTTCCTTAATGTATACGAGTTTTCTTTTGTTTTTTGGAGTCTCTTAGAAGATACTTTTCAAATGAATTTTTGGCCCGCTAGATTTCTAGTTTGTACTTTAATTGACTCCATTAAAACCAAACTTTATGTAGTAGAGATTTATAGTTTCATATGTGGTCTTCTTTTTCTGCATTTTTATAGGGAAATATTTGTGTTTGTTGATGTATCTCAAGTTCATAATTTTTAAAAAATGGAAAATTCTTTAAAAATAATATTTAGGCATCCTGGGACTTGACTTTTTAAAATCACTGTTTTTAATTTTTCTAAAATTTTTAACTTTTTGTTATTGTTACTTTTTCTAAAAAAAATTCAATATCCACATGATTTATTTCTTTATTTTTCATTTTCCTGCTAGGATTTTTTCCCCCATTACTCTACTTGTAGAATTTTATTGCCATTACATTAAGTACAATTATGCTTTTTTCTAAAAATAAAGATTTTTTAAAAATTTATTTGTGTGTTTAATAGTATAAATATTGTGGCAGAAATATACATTGTTCTCTTCTTTGTTATAATTATATGAAATATTAAAACTTATAATTGAAGATTCTCTAAAAACTGAAGCATGATACACATGTAACCTATCATCATCATCGTTGTCGTCATTATCATCTCCAGTTATGCTTTAATAGCTGTTAGGCACAAATGGGTTTATATAATGGAGAAACTAACTAGAAGGGGACTTGTAAAAGAGACTTGACAACGTGAGGCTCACAAACCCACCTGCTCCTTCAAGGAGATGCTACGATAGCATTGGAAACATCTAGATCCCCCTAGGGGATGTCAAGAAGGACCTGATAGCAGGTGTTCATACAGCTCTTCGGGTCTCACTTTTGCCCATGAATTCAGACCAAAAGATCATCAATAGGGTATTCTTCAGGGAGCTCCTTCCAAAATTACTGTCTTTCTCTAAGCCCCTGTTACTTTACATATCTTATTTTAAGGGAAGTTTCCATACTTGTCACCCACAGGGTAGCACACGCTGCCTCATCTCTAGCCTCTTCACCATCTCCAAAAGGGAGGAAATCAGGTTTTTTTGTGCCTTTTGACCTTTAGGAAAAGGAGGACAAAAGAAAAAAAAACTATTTGACTTAAATTGAGAGGGGATCCCCAAAATTCATTCAGATGCTGAAGAGGAATATACCAGAGGAAATATATAATAGCTCAGCACATTGACTTTTGTGACTTTTCAAAAAATTTTTGTGCTAGACTAGAACTCTTGTGTTTTGTTTTCAGGTTGTTGGAAAGGACACTAATGTCATGTTGGTGGCTTTGGCAGCAAAATGTCTTACCGGGCTTGCTGTTGGACTCAGGAAGAAGTTTGGTCAATATGCAGGCCATGTAAGTAGTACTCAGTTGGATGTGGGGCATCTTGGAACCAGCAGGAGAAATGATAGACCACTTTATTTTGTTATCTGTACTTAAAAAAAAAACAACCTTTTGACTGACAAATGCTCATAGCCTATGTTTTAAAAGAAAATTTACTTTATTAATAGAATAACTTTTAGATATTGCTTCACATTTGTTGTATTCTCCTCAGCATGATAATGCTATTCTCCTCCAACATGATAATGTTGGTATATATACAGCATTGTGGTGAAAAGTCAGTTGTAACAAGTAAATTGACTTTGTTGGTACTGAATTAGGTACTCAATCAAAATAGTTTAGTTTTATTTTGCTATTTAAAAATTAGAGATTTTAACTAATTGATGCCTTTCATGTTACGTTGCACAGATACAAATGAATTATTAGGATATGAAATCTCTCTTAACTAGGCAATTGAGTTCAGTAACTTATAGACATATATCATTTTTAGCAAACTGAGACCATTCTGTATAGTTACATCTCTTAATTGACCTTGGGATTCATGGGAGATTGAAAATACAGTATGGGCTAGTTGATGCAGTTTGGCATTCTGTTTCGGGAAAAGCCTTGGTTTTAAATGGGTTCAGATTCTTAGCTAATTGATCATTTTATTTCCTAGGTTAATGTTATAATAAATATTGAACCAAATCCCCCCTCATCAGGGGTGTGTTTTAAAGGATGTGGCTATAATACTTAGCATCACATGTTTACAATATTTAGACCTTGCTTACTCACTGCATTAAAAATAATTTCAAAGAATCTTCCTGTACAACACCAACTGACTAGATAATGACTGATAACATTGTGGGTTCAGAATAAGCCTCAGGATCAAATCTTTCTCAGCTTTACATTATCTTAGAGAATTATGCAATTTTTATGTAACTTTTTCTATTAGGGGCAATTTTTTTTCCTGAGATTTTATAGTTAAACTGAAAGTTGTTACATTTCTTTTTAGTCTGAAATCTGATGATAACTTTGTAACTAATTTTTCTTTAGAAACTGAAGAATGCTATAAAAACTACATCACATTAGAAGAAAATGTTTTAACAAAACTAGAGCATTTTTTTCTTTAAAAAGGATGTGAAGAGATTACTTATTTAATATCTCAACACAGTGACCTATCTGTAGTCATTATACAAATATTTCTTAAATTGACCTAAGCAATTTTATGGCAAATATTAATAGATTTATATAAGCACTTTTTTTTTAGATTTCAAGTTCATGGTTTTTTATTAAAAAAAATTTGAATCACACTTACTAGCTATGTGACTTGAGGCAAGTCACCTAACCCCAATTGCCTCACCAAAAAAAAAAAATCGAATCCTATGATCTACATTTTAACAGTTGTTGCCAATTAGTACTCATCTCTTATTTCATGAACCATTCATTTAAAATGAATTTCCTTTATGTACCAGTTTTGAATGGGACTTTTGGCCTTTGAAAAAGTATTCCATGTGGTTCCATAGGTATTGGGAATGTGGGAAGGGAATAGTGAAACATCTGACTTGACAGGTTTTTAATTGTTGAATTTGAACAAGCTGATCTAGCTGTGATCTCTCTTTTATACGTCTGGGTTTTTTAGCCTTTTCTCAGCCAGGTTTTTTCATTTGTCCCCTCTAGTGGGACAGGGTGGACCCTATAAATTTGCTTATATATCATAGTTCATTTGCTTTCAGGAATTGTGAAATGGTCTCATTCAATTTGAGCTGCCCCTTTTCACAGGTGGTGCCGACCATCCTGGAAAAGTTTAAAGAGAAGAAGCCTCAGGTAGTCCAGGCCCTCCAGGAAGCCATTGATGCCATCTTCCTAACTGTGAGTTAGTCACATCCAATACTGTGATTGCTCTAATTCAGAATTGATCATGTCCATTGGGTTACCCTAACTTATTCTTCCCTAACTTCTTTTGAAGACTACTCTGCAGAGCATCAGTGAGGATATTTTAGCTGTGATGGACAACAAAAATCCAACCATCAAACAGCAAACATCCCTTTTTATTGCAAGAAGTTTCCGACACTGTACTTCTTCCACGCTGCCTAAGAGTCTGCTCAAGCCCTTTTGTGCTGCTCTCCTGAAGGTATGGACCGAAGCTGGAATGTTGGGAGTTTGTGGTAGCAACATTCATAGACTTTCACCATGTAGTGATGGCCCTCAATGGCACTAGGGGCTGAAGGGAACATTTTTTTGAAATATCTCTTTGCTGTAGCTACTCTGCAGGAAAAAACATGGGGTGATTGTGATCAGTGGAGCTTCTCATGATTTGTCTCTCCTGGCTGTTTGGCTGGGACAGAACAAGAATGGTCTTGAAAACTGTTGGAATTTTTAAGCTCATTTGAGAGTGGTAAATGATGGAATCAAAGGCTGTCGTAAAATACGGGAGGTTCCCTGTACTCTTCTGACAAGCTTGCTGTTTATCCGTGAGAATGAAGTCATACATTGCTCTCATATTAACTTCATATGTGTTGACTCGCCTCCGTTAATCTGAATTGAGTTCAGTAATAGCTTTTTCTTAATGATTTCTCTCTTTTTTGGGCTATAGCACATCAATGATTCTGCCCCTGAAGTTAGAGATGCTGCCTTTGAAGCGTTGGGTACAGCTTTGAAAGTGGTTGGTGAGAAAGCAGTAAACCCTTTTCTAGCTGATGTGGACAAACTCAAGCTTGATAGGGTAAGTTAATAACCTAAACTGGATGATAGTGAAGGAAGACTTTTTTTGCCTTATTTTTCTGAATTGGAAAATATATATTTGAAGGAGGAAAAAGCAGAGTGAGAGAATCGCTCTAAGGAAATCCTTGTTAGGATTTGAACTTCTAGTCATAGGCTGTCTCAGTCAAATTCATTCATGGATAGAGGCAGCTAGATGACATAGTGGACAGAGCACTGGCCCCTAGAGTCAGGAAGACTTGAATTCAAATCTCAGGCATTTATGAACTTTGTGACCTTGAGCAAGTCACTTGACTTCTATCTGCCTAAATTTCTTTATCTGTAAAGTAGGGATAATAATAGCACCTACCTCCCTGGGTTGTTGTGAGGACAAAGTGAGATATTTGTAAAGTGCTTTTCCAAACTTATAGTGTAAGTGCTAGCTATTATTTTTCAACATGTTTGTATGCCTACTATATGCATGGCCCTGAGGATGCAGTGACCAAAATAAAAAATGTCCTTGGCTCAAGGAGCTTCATTTTACTGTGGGAAACAACATGTATACTAATTAGTTGGTATCAAATAAATACAAAGTAATTTGTGGAATTGGTGGTTGGGCATTAATGATTGGGGCATTGAGGAATAGCCTCAGACAGAAAGCATCATTTGAGTTGAGCCTTCCCTGACTTGCCCTGCTTTAGCTGCTTTCTCTCTGCACCGCGGTAAGTGTCTTTCTCCCATTTGTAAGCTCCTCCATTTTGAGGAAGGGCCGAGAGCCGTCATCCTTTAATAACATGCCCATGTGGGTACCTTCCCAACTCCCTTTTCAGCTCCCTTTTATATGTTGTCTTTCCCCCCTTAGAATGTAAGGTCCTTTGGGGGAGGGGGTGGATTTTTTTTTTCTTCTTTTTTAAAATTCTGAGTGCTTAGCACTTAGTACTTACTACTTGACTCTGAGGATGCAAGTGTTTCTACAGGGAGAGGAATGAGGCAGTACATTCACTTTTCCAATCTGGCTTGCCCTTCTAAATGTGATTGTTAGGAATAGCACTGTGTGACAGATACAGGCTGTATAACCTATGTCTTCAATAGACAGTCAAGTAGTGTAACATTGAAATTTGTTGATTTTTAACACCTTCTAGAACTTGACTGAGAAACATCTAATAGGTTTGTCTTCTTTAGTACTGCAGGTTGCAACTACATTAGGGTGAGATTTACATACAAATTCAGTGCACAAACTTGTTGATATGCATCTGCTACTACCTGTGTGGGTTCAGTTTGAAAGGGAGAATTCTCTTGGAATTCTGAAATAATCAGTGTTCAAAGCTGTCTTATCAAATCATAAAGTTCTATGACTTATCTCCTAAAATTGAGTTTAATGACTTTGCTGTCAATATCACTGCCCAGATCAAAGAATGTTCAGAGAAGGTAGAGCTGGTATATGGCAAAAAAGCAGGAGCCACAGCTGATAAAAGAGAGTCCAAAGCGCTTCCTGGGAAGACTGTTGCTTCAGGAGCTGCAGGAGATAAGGATGTGAAAGATGCTGCAGCACCCAAATCAGGGCCTGTGAAAAAGGCATCTGTCACCAAGGTAAGTCTGCAAGCATATCTTTAGACACGAACCGTTTATCATCAGGGGTTGGAATGCTGAAGCGGCTTCCTGCCATTCTTCTGTTGGGGGACCCTTTGGGTGGCAGAGTGCTCTGTGGGATAGCGTGCCCGCCTCAAAGTCAGGAAGACCTCTGACCCATCCTGGCTAGGTGACCCTGGGCAGGTGACTAGAAGTCACAGGGAAGGGACTGCCTTGCATTGGCAGTTTCCTCACCTAGGAGGGCCTTAGACAAATGGCGTCACAGATCTAGGCCCCACCCTTGGTTGTCAGTTCAGTTTCTTCATCCTAGGTACGTTGTCTCCAAAGAAGAAGATGCCCACTACCAACAAACATGGCTGTCAGCTTTGTTACCAAGAGCAAAAATCATCTGTACTTAGGAGAGATGTCTAACAGTACCTCCTGATGTATTGTTGCTTCAGACTATCTCCCTTGGGTGCTTACCCTCTTGTGATTCAAAACCAGACCCCATCTGGAGTGTTGGGTTCAGTTCTGGGAGCCACAGCTGGAGAAGGACATTGATAGGCCAGAGAGGGAGTGAGGGGCAAGGGCAGTAAGGGAGGTTTAGGGGGCTGTCATGTGGAATTGGAGTTAGATCCATTCTGTTGGGCCCCAAGGGAAAGAACTAGGATCAACAGTGGGAAGTTACACAAAGGCAAAATTAGAGTTAATGTTGGGGAAAACTCGCTAACAATTAGAGCTGTCCAAAAGTGTGGAGTGTGAACTCCCTTGAGAGACAGTGGTTTCAGCTTAGTGAGGAGGAGGTTGGAAGCCATGTGGCAAAAAGTTGAGCAAAGGGGAAAGGCATGTTTGGGAGGCTTGAGGAGGGAAGAAAAGGTTTGGAATAACTTCTTTGAAGAGTGAGGGAGTTAAGGGACAGCTAGGTGGCGCAGTGGATAGAGCTCCAGCCCTGGAGTCAGGAGGACCTGAGTTCAAATCTTGTCTCAGATTAGATACTTGACACTTAACTAGCTGTATGACCCTGGGTAAGTCACTTAACCTCAATTGCCTTGCAAAAAAAAAAAAAGAGTGAGGGAGTTAGGAATAAAAGAAACCACTTTGGGTCCAAGTGACATTAAGAATACCATGAATTCGTAATATACTCATTTGGCATGATTGTTAAACTGCTTCCAAGCTCTATCTGCAGCCTGTGAATAGGGCAGGAAGAGTCAGGTAGTGTGAAGCTGAGAACAAGAAGCTAAGAGATTCAAGAGGAGGGGACATGGAAGACTTAGAACTGCAAACTGTAGTGTCCAGATTGGAAACAGAGGAAAGTGGAACCAGAGCAGAGATAATGCCCCAAGAAAGCACTAAGGTGGGACGGATGAGATCCAGGTTGGGGTGGGTAGAGTACAGCCACTGTGACTTGGATGGGTAGAATGTTTTGAGGAAGCAGATTTCATAGGAGCAGAGTTGATGGAGTGATGGAAGCTTGTTGGACATATTGTCTTAGAGAATTCCCTGGGGTGTGCAAAGATTAGATGGCTTGCCCAGAGTCACTCACGAAGATATTCTGTTACAAGTTTCCTTGACACTGGGACCTACTCCCTCTAGGGAGTGTTCAGGGAAGACTAGTACCTCTGGTGTGAAGGCTGCTGAGCCCTTTTCAGGGCTGCTTTCCACCTTTGGTGTCCACCTGTTCCACCTAACTCTCACCTGTGGCTCCAAGAAGCTGTAGCGTGCACAGCGGCCACACCCTGGTAAACTATTTCGGCAGACAGGCTAAACCAGGTCGAGGGTAACTAAGAGGTCTCAAATCCATTGGTGAGTTAGCAGGGTGTCTACCCCAAGCATGTGAAAACTTCCCCTGGTGGAATGTTCAGTGGCCATAAAGGCAGCTGAAGCTGTGGAGCGCTTAAAGACGCCAGGGTCATTCACTGCATCTTGAGTCATCACCAGTCGTCTTGATTCTGTCCTGCCACTGGACTGCGATGACTCTGGAGGAGAGAGTGAGGCTGACGACTTCGTGCAACTCTGCCTTGCTTAAATCCAGTTTACACACGAATCAAAGGACATCACCATACCATTTTACCATTTTACCATCTCAAAGTCCTGTGGCGACAAGCAAGTGATGAAGCATCAGGTGCGGGTACACTGGGAGTTGTAATCACAATCCTGCACACAGGTGGCCCAGGCCATGGGGGCATTTCTCACTGGAAGCAGCAGTGGGATTTGGCAGCCCCGTGGATGTCTGAGCAGCCTTTTAAGGATTGTACTGCTCACCTCCTGGTGTAAGGAAGGGGCTAGAAAAGGTGCCATAAAAATTGTCTGCTTACCCAATCCTGGCCTGATTACCACAGCAGGTGGGGAATCCCACTCTGTGGTTGAAACCCCAAAAAATGTACAAAAAATGTCTGCAAAGACGATTCTGTTCACCATCAGCACATGGACTGTGCACACACTTACATAGACAACACAAAATCCTGTAGACTTGAAAGACAGACGGCTCCTGTTGCAAGAGAACTCGGCAAGTATCACAACCAAATAGCAGCCCCGAGTGAAACAAAGTTGGCAAATGAAGGTCAGCTTACTGAAGTTGGAGCTGGATATGCGTTTTCTAGAGTGGCTACAGTGAAGGGGAGCACCGTGAAGCTGGTGTAGGTTTTGCAATCAAAACTAATCTGGTCAACAAGTTTGTGTGCCTACCAAAAGGAGTGAATGACAGGCTCATGACAATGAGATTGCCACTTGCGAGAAAATGTCAGGCCACCATGATTAGTGCCTATGCTCCCACCGTGATGAACCCTGATGAGGTTAAAGAAAAATTTTGCAAAGACCTGGAGACACTTATCATCAGTGTGCTAAAAGAGGACAAGCTTATAATTCTGGGTGATTTTAATGCTAGAGTAGGCTTAAACTACCAGACTTGGCAGGGAGTTCTAGGGAGGAATGGAGTTGGAAATGGCAACAGCAGTGGTCACTTACCACTGGAGCCTTGTGCGTCTCATGACTTCTTATCACTGACAATGCTGTCTTCTGCTTACCTAAACACAATAAAACTCCATGGATGCACCCTCACAGCAAACATTGGCATTTAATAGACCATGTGATTGTAAGAAGAGACAGGATTGGAGAGTGACGAAGGCAATGTGTGGCGCACAGTGCTGGACTGATCAGACTTATCCTCTCTAAGCTAAATATTTGCATTCAGCAAAAGTGGCATTCCCCAAGGCAAAATGATTGCCAGAATTAATGTCAAGAGATTAGAGCTCTTCTCTGAGCGGGAACAGTTTGTTGCTAACTTGGAGGGAAAGTTGAACAAACACATTTGGCAACAGTGAAGCGGAAAAGGAATGGGCAGCTTTCAGAGATTTGGTGTACGGCACTGCATTTGCTCATCTGGGTCAGAACACTAGCAAACATCAAGACTGATTTGATGAAAATGAAGGGGAAATTCAGAAGCTGCTAAATGAAAAACAAGAGCTCCACAGGGTTTACCAGCAGGATAGTTCATCCATCTCCAAGAAGGCAGCATTTATTTCCATCAAAAGTAAAGTACAAGCAAAGCTTAGAGAGATGCAGGATTCTTGGCTCAGTAAGGAGGCAGATGAAATTCAGTTTTATGTTGATAATGACAATCCAAAGCGCTTTTATGATGCCCTGAAGGCTATTTATGGGCCAGAGACCTCTGGTGCATCTCAACTACTCAGTGCTGATGGAGCCACATTGATTAGTGATAAGGACATGATCCTAGCGAGATGGGCTGAACTTACCTCAAGCTGAAGTCAGTCCCTCCCTAGCTGAAGTTACAACTGAAGAAGAGGTTTGGAATGCCATTAGGCTCCTTTCATGTGGCAAAGCACCTGGTGCTGATTCCATTCCAGCTGAGATTTACAAGGTAGGGGGTCCATTGCTCTTACAAAAGCTGACTGAAATCTTCCAGGTTATATGGCAAAAGGAGGTTATCCCCCAGGAGTTCAAGGATGCCTCCATTGTCCATCTCTATAAAGGTAAAGGAAATAGATTGTCCTGTGACAATCACAGGGCAGGTTTCTCTTTTAGTCATTGCTGGCAAGATTCTTGCCAGAGTCTTCCTTAATAGTCTGATCCTTCACCTGGAAGATGGTCATCTACCTGAGAGCCAGCGTGACTTTAGAAAGGGCCGAGGAATAGTTAATATGGTGTTCATTGCCCGACAACTTCAGAAGAAATGCCAGGAGCAGAGCAGAGGTCTGTATGCAACGTTTGTAGATCCGACCAAGGCCTTTGATGTTGTCAGCCGTGAGGGCTTATGGAAAATTATGTCAAAATTTGGTTGCCTGGGGAAGTTCATCAGCATTGTGTGTCAGTTTCATTACAGCATGCTTGCCCATGATGGCATACTGGATAATGGACGATGCTGTTGTGTTTTCCCAGTCACCAGTGGAGTGAAACAAGGCTGTGTGCTTGCTCCCATGGTGTTTTCGGCTGTGTCATCAAATGCTTTCAATGAGAATGAACATGGCATCAAGGTCAGCTACCACACTGATAGTAAATTCTTCAACATGAGAAAGCTACAAACCAAAACCAAAGTGTAGGAGTTGCTGGTGCATGATATTCAGTTTGCAGATCATTGTGCACTCAGTGCAGCCTCTGAAGCTGAGATGGGCCGAGTCTCTGCTGCTTGTGCTAATTTTGGCCTAGCAATTAACACCAAGAAAACACAGGTGCTTCATCAGCCACCACCACACCATCCATACATGGAACCATTGGTTACAGCAAATGGAGAAGTTCTGAATGCTGTGGATAAGTTCAGTTATCTTGGTAGTGTACTTTCCAGGGATGTACACATCAATAATGAGGTTGACACATGCCAGAGCTAACTCGGTGTTTGGGAGGCTCCGAAAGAAAACATGAGAGAGAAGAGGTATTAGACTGACTGCCAAACCGAAGGTCTACAGAGCTGTTGTGCTGACCTTGTATGCCTGTGAAACCTGGACAGTATACCAGCGCCATGCCAGGAAACGGAATCACTTCCATTTGAATTGTCTTAGGAAGATTCTGAAGCTCACCTGACAGGATAAGATACCAGAAACTGAGGTCCTTTCTCAAACTGAACTGCCAAGCATTCAGACTCTGCTTCAGAGAGCTGGCCACGTTGTTCAAATGCAAAACATACACTTGCCAAAAAGACTACTTTATGGAGAACTCTCACAGGGCAAGCGTTCACATGGTGGTTAGAAGAGGAGATATGAGAATATTCTTAAGGTCTCTCTTAAGAACTTTGGAATTGATTGTGTGACATGGGAGACACTGGCACAGGACTGCTTAGCATGGTGTGCCCACATCAGAAAAGGTTCTGTGCTGTATGAACAAAATAGAATTGAAATGGCTCAAGGGAAACACAAGATATGCAAACTTAAAGAATCCACTCCAAAGGTTCACATGGACTATTTGTGCCCGACCTGTGGTAGAGCATCCCAAGCTCATTTTGGTCCTCTTTGAAAACAAAGGACAACAACAATACCCTCTATAGTCATACTGTCCTTGTGGAACCACCCTGTGAAATATGAGCAGCATCTAGCACCCTTCAGAACCTAAGTGGTATTGATTCTGCCTTCAGCTAGCTCCTTTGCCAGAGTGGAAATGAGTCATGTTGCCATCGTAATTGATCTTGAAATGGTCTTTCCAAAATTAGGCCCACTTGTAGGAAGTTCACCTTTCTATAGATGTCAGCTTCTTAGGCCTATATGTTCATAATCTTCTTTGATTCTTCCCTTTTCCTTTACTGTTACATTTCACCAGTGAAAAATTAATCCTGAATTTTCTCTTCCCATCTAAGCTATTGTAGCCACTTTCTTACTGGGCTTCCTATAGGTCTATCCCTTCTCTAATCCATCTTCCAAGTTATCTTTCTAAGGGACTGCTATAATTGTGTCATTGCTTCCTCAGAAATTTTTGGGTGTCATCTGATCACCCACCAAAGTTATCAGCTTTGGTATTTAAGACCCTTCACTATCCATCCCCCATTCTCATCCTGCTCTCTTCATCTGCCTTTGTTCACACAATCCCAAGCCTGAAATTGGCTCATCTTCTTCCTTTCTTACTCTCAGTCTTTGTGTCCTTGTCTTTTTCCAAAGCCTAGCTCTGATGCTTCTTCTGGGAAACTTTCTCAGATACCTTCCTCCCATTCTGAATGAAAGTGTACTCCCTTTGATTTTTCCTAGCATTTTGCCAGGACCTCTCCCTTTATAGTTATTATGAAGATTATTTGTATACTTGTTTTCTCCATCTCTCCTCCTGGACCCCTTTCCCCCCCAGTTTGCTCCTTAGATCCCTGGGAGCAGATAGAACTGGTAGCATATCTGTCTCTGTATGCTAAGCACTTGTTTAGTGTTCTACCCATAGCTTGTAACTCATTAATGTTGACTTGAATTGAATATCTATTTTCCATAAGTGGGCTGTGGACAGATAGGGAATTCTAACCTTTCTGCATTTTTAGCATGTGGACTTACTTGGTAACTACATTTATCTTTAAAGTAGGAGGATGTGACCAATGAGTCACATTGAACTGTAGGTCTAAATTTCTATTGTGTGAACAAAGTAGAATTAAAATAGCTCAAGGGAAACACAAGATACGTGGACTTAGAAAATCCACCCCAAAGGTTCACATGGACTATTTGTGCCCGACCTGTGGTAGAGCATTCCGAGCTCGTATTGGTCTGATCAGCCAGTCAGACACACTAAAACTTGACTTTAGCACAGTGATGTGGCTAATTGCTTTTCTCTCTCTCTCTCTTTTTAGGCTAGTGGACCACCTAAGAAGGGAAAACCAGCCACATCTGGAGCTACTGGGGGTGCTGGATCTAAGAACAAGAAAGGCCCGGATGTCAAAGAGATCGTGGAGCCTGAGCTTTCGGTAGGGATTGCCCCTGTGCCCTTTCAAACAGAGAAGGGCTCAGAGAATTGAAACTTCAGAATGGAGCTGGGGTCTTTCTTCCTTTGGTTCACGAATCCTGCATCCTTTGGCTTATTGGGAATGGGTCAGTGATGGCATTCCAACAGCATCCCAGCTCACTGGAGCCCATGTGACCACGCTTCTCTTTGGGATTGCCTTGGCTGCTCTGGCTGCCTCCGTTGGTTGTCTTCATGCCTCCCAGTCCCATTGGGTTTGGTGTCTTTCAGGTAGAAGTATGTGAGGAGAAAGCTTCGGTCGTCCTTCCACCTACTTGCCTCCAGCTGCTTGATAGTGGTAACTGGAAGGAACGACTGGCCTGCATGGAGGAGTTCCAGAAGGTGAGTAGCAAGAAGTAATTGTGAAAGAAACAGCCTTGCTGGGAGAGGCAGCTCTGCCACCTCGGGGCCTTCATGCCAGGGTGGGCTTTGTTTTACAGCTAGTCAGTGTCTCAGTGCTACTGCCTTCTGCTTCCAGTGTGTTAGAGCTGTCAGGTGCCTCTGCCCTCCTGGCTTTGTGGGTAGTGCCTTTTCATAAAAGTGAACTTCTGCCTTCATTCATTTTTATCAATTGGGGCATGACATTCCTCACATCCTCCTGTCCCTTCAACCCAAGAGCTTTCTTTCATCTAAAGATGTTCAGTCATTCAGTTGAAGTGAACAAACTTTGTCTTCTTCCTAGAATTTTTATCCCATTTTTATTGGTTCCATTTGTTTGTACATCACATGCATTTCCTAATCTTCCCTCCTAACATTTTTTTTTTTTCAAAAAGAAAAAAAAAACACTTCAGCAGAACAAACTATGACCATGCGCACCCTTGTGTGACCATGTGTCACCCTTAGCTCTCCACATCTGCATTGAAGAAGGGAGAGAGAGATTCTTTCTGGGGCCTAGCTTGATCATTCTAATTACACAGCAGGACATTGGGGTTTGGGAGTTTTGTTGTGTTTGTTCTTTTCCATTTACATTTTTGTAATCATGTAATTTTATTTTCCTGGTTCTGCTTACTCCGCTCTACAGTAGTTGATGGAAATTTTCCCCTGCTTTTCTGAATCCATACTCATTGTTTCTTACGGCAAAGTGATCATCTACCATATTCACGTATCACACTTTGTGTGGCCATTTTCCAGTTCGTGGACATCTTCTTTATTACCAGTTCTTTGCTACCACACAAAGTGTTGCTGTGAACCTCATGGAGTATGGGAGCCCTTTTTTTCTGTCTTTGACCTCTGTGATTTATATATTAGCATGGTGATCTCTAGGTCACAGGCTGTGGACATTAATTCCACTTTTTAAAAGTTAATTAATGATAAATTGCTTTTGAGAATGGTTAGGCCAATTCACAGCTCCACCAGTAGTTAGGGTGCCTGACTTCTTGGGTCCCACCAGTATCAGCTGTGTTCATGTTGGCTAATTTGCTGAGTGTAAGGTAAAACCTCTTGAGTTGTTTTGATTTATCTTTGCTTATAATTACAGGTTTGAGCAGTTTTTCCCAAGATTGTTCATTTTTAATTCTTTTGAGAACTGTTTAAAAAAACTTTCCCTCCCCTTTCCTGTTTCCCTTTTTTGGGTGTCATTCTGATTTACTGAAAGAGATTCTAAAATAATGGAAGGTTTCCCCATTTTAGGGTAGGGATATGATTTACCTAACTTTATTATTTACTACATTAAGTAGCTACCAAATCTTAATTTAAAGTAATATGAGTGAGGTGGAAGGAACACAATCTGATGTTCTTTAGGAGTCTTAGAAAAATGACACTCCACCGGCCCTGAAGTCAGGAGGACGTGAGTTCAAATCTGGCCTCAGACCAACCACTTGACGCTTACTAGCTGTGTGATCCTGGGCAAGTCACTTAACCCCAGTTGCCTAAAAAAAAGAGAGAGAGAGAGAGAAATGACACTCATCCTCTGGGCCTCAGTTTGCTCATCTGCAAAATGTAATGTCTGCCCTCTCTACTTCATAAGATTTGTATCAGGCATCACAAAACTACGTGGCATAGGGCTTTGTGGAAAGTGTTTTAAAGCTGAAAAATACAACTTCTCATGGTGAATGCCATTTTCTGACCCTTTTGGCTTTTATTTTCCCCAACTTTTAAGGCTGTTGAGCTAATGGACCGAACTGAAATGCCATGTCAGGCATTGGTGAGGATGCTGGCTAAGAAGCCAGGATGGAAAGAAACCAACTTTCAGGTATCTTGAATTTTTACTTTTTTAAATGGAGAACAGCATGTTTTCATCAACAGATTTCCTTGCTTGTTGCTACATAGTAAAGGACAGATGCGCTTACTCCTTCCAGTTCTTCTCTTGCCATGCAACCATCTCAGGCTCTCCTTTCTGTCAGTCAGCAGTGTGTCATCTTTGAAATGTGGAGTGGGTATGGATGTTTTGTTGGTTTCTACTCTTAAGAGACAGATTTTGGCTAAGTGTGATCTGCTGACTTCGAATAAATATAAAGAAAATGAGAATTTCTTTTCTTTGTTAAAGTAAACCAATGAGAGAAATTTGAGTAGTATCCAATTTGTATTGCAAATGTTTGTTTACAAGTCACTTGTTAGGTTATTTGAAACACATTTTCCCATAGAAAGTGTTATGATAGTTGAGCGGATGCCATAATAAAAACATTTAAAACATAGTGTGGCAAAAATACAGCACTAACAGTGCTAATGTTGACTCCTTGAGGTCTTAGGTGCAGGGAGCCTTGTCATCAAAGGCCATCTTCCACTCCAGGTGCCCCCCACACACACACGCACACATACACACACACACACATTCTTTTATTTTACTCTACCACCTCCTTCTATCCCTCTCTAGGTTTTAAGTGCCTTCAGGTTTCCCCCAACTGCGGTCCCCTCCCCAAGCCTGCTCTTGATCTGTCCTCTGAAAGGTGACCTTCCCCATCCTGACATACAAACTCCCATTCCTTTGTCTCTGTCAGCATTAACTTAATGTTAGGAAGACAGTTTGAGTGATTCAAAGGGGAACTCATAAGCCAGGAACTGAGTTCTTTAGCCCTCTCAGAGGGAGCTGCATTTTTATGCTTATTAACTTAAATGGGGCTCTGATGATCAGAATGTCAAGTTGTATAAATAAACTTTTAAGATATAACTAATGTGAGGAAAGATTTTCAGATGATGGGAATACCATCTAGTCTGTCCCCAGGTCAGCTTAACAGATTGTCGTCTTTTCAGTTTCTTGTCTTCTCTTCCCTTCAAGGCCCTCCTCCTACATGAGGCCTTTTCTGATCCCACCTAGTTACTAGCTAGTACTCTCCTTAGCCCCTGCAATTACTTTGTATTTACTTTTCTGTGTGTATCTTGTATATGTCACTTTTTCTTCCCACCCTACTCCCCCCGAGTCCCCATGAGTTCCTTGAGGTCAGGGACTACTTAATTTTTATCTTTATGTGCACATCTGCTACCACCCTTTCCTATAAATGCTTATAGAATTGAATTCAGAAATTCTGAAATCAATGTCTAAAAGGTCCCTACTTTTTCACAGTGGCTTCCATTACAGTCAGGGCCCTGGCAGGACGAGCAGGTCAGTAGTGTGGCCATCAAATGCTTAGAGAGTGCCCCCACTGCCAAGTCTAAGAAAGCACATTTTAACTTATAAACTTTGTGGGCAATAATGTTACAAGTTGATATTTTGAGGTGTTTTGGCATTTTTTTCTCTTTACTCTCAAATGGGGTTACCATTTGTAATTCCTTTGTCCATCATTAAGGCCCCTCTCACGGGTAAAATTGTTTGCTTCTGATTTGACTTCTCATCCATTCCAAGTTGATCTGCACAGCCCAAAGATCTTTTGGCTCGGCTTTGCCTCATTGGTGTTTCTCTCTCTTCAGGTGATGCAGATGAAGCTTCACATTGTTGCTTTGGTTGCTCAGAAGGGAAATTTTTCCAAAACTTCAGCTCAGGTTGTCCTGGATGGTCTTGTGGATAAAATTGGAGATGTGAAATGTGGCAACAATGCAAAGGAGGCTCTGACAGCAATTGCAGAAGCGTGTCTGCTCCCGTGGACAGCTGAGCAGGTCCGTGACACTAGTTTCTTTTCCTCTATTTCATTCACCATTTTCACTGATGAAGCTCCAACCCCTTTGCCTTCTCTCTCGAACTCTGTCTCAGTGCTCCAGATTCATTTGGCCTCAAAAGAGGATGATAGTACCCCTCTGGGGCTACCTGGCTTAGTCTGTGACCTTGAGCTTCCTCAAGGAGTCACTGATACAGTCACTGAGAGTGCGTAGACATGGGCGAGTGGGAGTGTCTTCTCCACTCTCAGGATTCCTGTCTAGCTTCAGCATGAGGCGGGTAGTATAGTTTGAAGAGTTCAGATTTGGACGCAGAGACACAGGACTTCAGTGTTAACTTTCTTTCTGGCTGTCTACCTAGGTGCCCAGGGCTCAAGTCACCTTGGGCAGATAAGAGGATTGAGCTCAATGATTGCCAGCATTCTCTCAAGCTCTAAATCTCTGCTCCTTTTTGATTCCATTATGGAAGAAGACAGCATTCTGTGATATATGGGCATATGAATCTTTTGCATGTGACTCCTTTTGCTTTATCATCACTTGGTATGTGTTCTTCACTTGGAATGCTTATGTAATGGAGAGAATAATAGAGATTTGTGTTTTTCTTTTTCAGGTCATGTCAATGGCTTTCTCACAGAAAAATCCCAAAAATCAATCAGAAACTTTGAACTGGCTATCCAATGCAATAAAGGAATTTGGTTTTTCTGGGTAAGTCTCAGAAGATAAGTAAACTGTAAACTAATAAATTGGGTTTTTTCCCCCCCATCTTACTATTATTGCCTCTGATTGTGAATATTTGTGTTCACCAGAACAAAACAAACTTCTCTGAATTAAAAAAGCACATCCTCAGGGCAGCTAGGTGGCACAATGGATGGAGTGCTGGGCCTGGAATCAAGAAGACTCATCTTCCTGAGTTCAAATCTGGCCTCAGACACTTACTAGCTGGGTGACCTTGGGCAAGTCACTTAACCCCAATTGCCTTTTAAAAAAAAAAAAAGCACATCCTCACATCTCTCCCTTGAATTTGAATAAAAACTGCCAGGGCTTACTAGGTCTTGACATTGCACTAACCCTGTTATTTCACTGTATCTTGTGTCTTCCCTGAGTGGGGTAGAGTGTTAAATGTCCACAGGAATATCTAAACTCCTGAACATGTCTATCTCTTGGGTCTGTCTGATGCAAGTTTGTGAATGTATTCACTTGAGTTGTGTGTTTCCTCTCTTTTTATAGCAGTAGTGGTGGAATAGACAATGACCTTCTGTTCCCATAAAATCTCATGGGTTATTTTGAATGTTCACTATTCTCTTTTCTAGGTTAAATGTCAAAGCTTTCATTAGCAATGTGAAAACAGCCCTTGCTGCTACAAATCCAGTGAGTACCGAACAGAAAATGGCAGTGGTGCAGGTGGGCTCTTGGTGTCTGTTCTGCATTTTATATACATGTCCTTTCTGCATTGCCTTGCAGGCTGTGAGGACCTCTGCCATCACCCTTCTTGGGGTAATGTATCTGTATGTGGGCCCTTCTTTGCGAATGTTCTTTGAGGATGAGAAAACAGCCCTCCTCTCTCAGATAGATGCAGAGTTTGAAAAGGTAAGAATTCCATAAGCTGTATGTTTCTCCAGCTGATGGGCTTAGAAATGTTATTTCATGTGAGTTTTAGGGTTACTAGCTTTAATAGTAATATGTCTTAATTAAAGTTGCTTAGTATTAGCCAGAGTCTTTGTATATCAGATTGTAGGCATTAAAGAAATAACTGCAGAATGTAAGGATCATTACTGATGGCATGGAATAGCAGTGTGCTTTCCCCAGTAGTCTGCCCACTTGCCTGTTTTAAGACAGATTAAAATGTCTGTGTGCCTATTTAAGTTTTACACATGCACCACTCCTTCCTTTCTCCAGTTCTCCACCGTCAGGTTCTTTGCCTTAACTCAGTTTATCTCTTCTCCTTGCCAAGATAAATCCCTCTGTCTGCACAAGGGTTCATTCCATCTCATCTTCGCCAGGAGGTTGGCCTCTCAATCATGCCCATTCTTACTGGTCTTCAATCCCTCTCTGTCTCTTGATTGCTCCCTCCTGCCTACACACATGCCCATGGCTCCCCCATCCTCAAAAAGCCTGCATGTGATTGCCTGTGCTTCTTACTTGTCCTGTAGCTCTCCTTTTCATGGCTGCTCTCACTGAGAAGACGGTCCACAATGGGTGCTTCCATTTCCTTTCCTTTCACTCTCTTCTTTGTTTTTGTTTTTGTTTTGTGAGGCAATCTGGGTTAAGTGACTTGTCTGGGGTCGCATAGCTAGTAAGTATCGGGTCTGAGGCCAGATTTGAACTCAGTTCCTCCTGATTCCTGGGCTGGTGCTCTATCTACTGTACCACCTAGCTGCCCCCTCACTCTTTTCTTAATGTTCTGAAGTTTGACTTCCCACCTCATCATTCAGCTAATGTGGCTCTCTTTAAAGTGACAGATGATCTCTTAATGTCCTTTTTTGGTCTTCATCTTCTTGACCTCCCTGTAGCCATTTAATAATAATAAAAATAGTAATAATCGTAATAGCAGCTAGCATTTTTATATAGCACCTACTATGTAAAGGCCAGGCACTTTGCTAAGCACTTTTACGATTATTATCTCGTTTGGTCATCAATCCTGGGAGGTAGGTGCTATTATTATCCTCATTTTATAGTTGAGGAAACTGAGGCAAACAGAAGTTAAGTGAATTACCCAAGGACACATAGCTGGTAAGTGTCCAGGGCTGGATCTGAATTCAGGTGGTCTTGACTCCAAGCCCAGCACTCCATCCACTGCATTGCTTACTGTCTTTCGGAATAGAATCAGAATTTGGGAGCTGTGCAAGACCATCATTTCTTACTCCTTTAATTTGCATAGTAGTGAGTTGCTCAAGAGAAGAGGACAAGAATCTTAGTGTCCTGATTTCCCACCTCATGTACTTGGTGTATGCCAGGCATAGTGCTAAACAGTGAGCACACAAAGAGAGGCAAAAACAGTCCTTGCCCTTAAGAACTCATAGTCTAATGAAAGAAACAACATAACAACTATGTCAAATGAGATCAATATGAGATAGACTGGAGATGATCTCAGAAGAACAACACATTAAGGAGCACTGGGAAAGGCTGATTTCAGGAAGTGGGGCTTTATCTGAGACTTAGAGGAAGCCAAGGAAGCCCAGAGACAGAGACCAGGCAGGAGAGAGCTCTAGGAATGGGGGCAGGGGGGTGGGGGGCGGAGCTTGTGCACCGTGAAAGTGCCTAATATTGGGAGGTTGAGTAGCTTGTGCTAGCAGCACCCAGGAGGCCAGTATCATTGAATTGCAGAGTATAGGTGTAAAAAGACTGGAAAGTTAGGGAGAGGCCAGGCTGTGAAGGGCTTTCAAAGCCAACGAGAGGATTCTGCATTTGATCCTGGGGGTCATACCAACTTACTGGAGTTGATTAAATGAGGGAGAAGAGGGTGACATGGCTTAGATCTGGCCTTTAGGGAGATTAATTTGACAGCTGAGTGTAGGATGAACTGGATTGTAAAGAGACTTGACATGGGGAAACCAACTACTAGGCTCTTCAGTGGTCTAGGCGTGAGATAACGAGGGCCTGTTCCAGGCTGGGGGTGTATTGAAGAACAGCAGAAGGCATGGCACGTACAAAAGATTTTATGAAACTAGAAATGACAGGACTTGGCGACTGATTGGGTATTATGAGTAAGGGTGAGTGCAGAATGACACGTAGGCTTCGAGCTTGGGAAGGTGGTGGTACACTTCACAGCAGTGGGCAAGTTGAGGAGAGAGGAGGGTTTTAGAGAAAAGATAACAAGTTCCATTTTGGACATGTTGAGTTTCAGATGTCTCTCAAACATGTTTGAGATGTCCATAGGCAGTTGGAAATAGAAGACTAGAGGTCAAGAGAAAGATTAGGGATGGATAAATTGATCTGAGAATCATCTGTACAGAGATGATACCTGAATCCATAGGAGTGGATGAGATCTTAAATAGTGTAGAGGGAGAAGAGAAGAGAGCCTGGGACAGCCTTGAGGGGCACCCACTATCCACTGGCTATCTGGCATGAGGAGAAAGGAGTTTCACGAAAGCCTCGAGAGAAGAGAGAACCACAGAGTCACCAGCTACTGGGCCTGAAGCCAGGAAGACTTGAATTCAGATCTGGCCTCAGACACTAGTTATGTGACCCTGGGCAAGTCACTTAGCTTGTTTGTCTCAGTACCCTCATCTGTAAAGTGAGGGTTAAAATAGGGCCTCTACTTTGCAGGATTGTTATAAGGATCAAATGAGATCAAATCTATCAAACTGTTAGCAAGGTACCTGGCACCTAATAGGTGCTATAGAAATGCTAACTGTTATCTTTTACTCATTTGTTTTGCAGATGCAGGGTCAAACCCCTCCTGCCCCAACAAGAGGAACTACTAAAAACACTGGGGGTGGTACAGATGAAGGAGAAGATGGCGATGAGCCAGACGAAGGTGGCAGTGATGTTGTAGATCTCTTGCCAAGGGTAGAAATCAGGTGCGTTTTGATGTAAGAAATGAAGATTTATTTGATCACAAATGCTACTGGATAGGCCAACCACCAGGCAGATTCCACTGTTGCCCTTCACTGCTTCAATACTTCCTACTTCCTCCAGCTCCTAAAAAGAAATATGGCCAAACAGCTGACCTCCTTTTTCCCCAGAGGAACAGCCAAAAGTTGGGCTCAGACTGCTTGGACTCGCCCTGAGTGGCCTAGCTATATGCCACGGCATTACCTGGCTTCCTGACTAAGTAGAATGGGACCTTCTCAGCTATCACATTTGTGCACCTCTTTATCTGACACCCTTTTGTGTATGAACAATTGACCTTTGTTGTCATCCCATACATAATGGCAGGAATCTGGCATTACCATCAGATCCAAGCTTGCCTATTGCTCCAGGAGGCCCAGGAGCTGATGTAGTTTATGGAGGGTCCTACATGGCAGCATCTGATAAAGTCTAAAGGTGGTAAACAAGGAGGACAAAATCGTCTTGGAGCTCCTAGGCTTCTTTACAAGGATGGTGAAACAGGAGAAACTGCTTGCAAACTTGGAGGTCCCCCTGGCAGTTCTTCCAGATAGAAGATGCAGTGAACACCTCGGTAACTCTGGCCAGCTCTTTAGCCTCACCAGCAAACCCTAGAGCTGCTAGGGGTCTAACATCCCAAGGAAGAGAAGGTCAGAGCCTTCCAGAATAAGGAGGTGGGGGACCCCACTGAGGGGTCCAGAAATAAGAATCAGAAGAAGACATGATCTAGAAACTGAAGATGCACCAGAAGACTGTGAGGGAGCTGTACTTCAACCCCAAGGGTTCCAAAGAGACATCTGCTGCAGGCACAGGGGAGGAATAGGTGACAAACCAGAGCAGCATCCGTTCCCTAAGGTGAATTGTACCAAGAAATCCTGTTTCTGGCCTCAGGAAGGCGTGGCCTGGCCTAAGGGCATCTAGTGATCTATGACTGGGGTAAAGGGAGGGGTGGCTGGATTTCTAGGAACCCTAGATTCATTATTTTTTTTAAATAATGTATTTATTAATTTTTGGTTTTCAATGTTCACTTCCTTAAGATTTTGAGTTTCAAATTTTCTCCGCCTCCCTCCCCTCCCCAAGAGGGTGTGCAGTCTGATATAGGCTCTACTTAAATGTTCATATTAAGCATATTTTCACATTAGTCATGATGTAAAGAAGAATTAGAACCAATGAGAGGAACCACGAGAAAGAAGAATCAAAATAAAACAACAGAAGAAAAGGAGAGCAAATAGCATGCTTCCATCTGCATTCAGACTCCATAGTTCTTTCTCTGGATGTAGAGAGCTTTTTCCATCGTGAGTCTTTTGGAGTTGTCTTAGATCCTTGCATTGCTGAGAAGAGCTAAATCTATGAAAGTCAGTCATCGCATAGTATGCCTATTACTGTGTACAATGTTCTCCTAGTTCTGCTCATTTCACTTAGCATCAGTCCATACAAGTCTTTCCAGGATTTTCTGAAGTCCGCCTGCTCATCATTTCTTCTAACACAGTAGTATTCTGTTACATTCATATACCACAGCTTGTTCAACCATTCCCCAATTGATGGGCATCCCTTCAGTTTCTAATTCTTGGCCACCACAAAAAGAGCTGCTATAAATATTTTTGTGCATGTGGGTCCTTTTCCCGTTTTTTGATAACATCATTTTTTGCACCATAACTTGAATAAACCAATGTCCCCAAGATTGAAGGAAGAGTGCTACTAAGCTAGAACCGCTTTCTAAACTCTGGTCATCTTACTAAAGGTTTGAATTTAAGAGGTGAATTTTTGCTTCTCTTTCTCAGTGATAAAATCACCTTGGAGCTGGTATCTAAGATTGGGGACAAGAATTGGAAAATTCGGAAGGAAGGCTTGGATGAAGTGTCCAGTATCATTAATGAAGCAAAGTTCATACAGCCTAACATTGGTGAACTTCCAGCTGCATTGAAGGGCCGACTCAATGATTCAAATAAAATCTTGGTATGTCATGGATTTGTCTATTTTCTGGGCTATGTTTCCATTGCTAAGTATTCACCCCCAAGTGCTTATTTAAGTGGTGTGTAATGAGTTGCTTAACCCTTAATTTCTTACTATCGTGTAGATGTACCTTTTATTCATTAAACAAGTTTCTAAAAGACCATGTATAAATTAAAATTGTATGTTAATTCAGTTTAATTAACTCCTGTTTATTTATGAATCTTCCTGTCAAACATGACTCCTTATTGTGTATTTTAAAATTTGAGGTTTGTAACTTAGGATTTTCTTAAAGAAAAGCCCACTTGATGCTTGAGAGGTAAATTGATATTGACAGTGACCTTAAAAATATATAGTCCGTGCCTAATTCAGTGTAAAACTATGAATTGACAAAGAAATGAGTCCTCAGGCTGAGAATGGAAATCCATCCGTTCCAATGACTATATATAATAGTACATTTTACTGCCTTAGTTGTTATTGAAGGGCCTTGAGCGTGGTTCCCCCAGAGATTGGATGTAGACAAATGTGTTATTCCTGTCTAGGTGCAGCAAACATTGAACATCCTGCAACAGTTGGCGGTAGCCATGGGCCCAAACGTCAAGCAGCATGTGAAGAACTTGGGCATCCCTATTATCACAGTTCTTGGAGACAGCAAGGTAAACTCATGCTTCCCCAGCAGTATTGTGAGTAGCACACTTAATACCATGTACACTGCCCACATTCTTAGCCCAGTGGTTTTCCTTTTTAGAATTTATGCCAAGTACATGTGAACTTTGAATGTTAAAGAAAAGGAATATGTTCTTACCTCTAAGGCACTATTAAGCTTCCCAGAAATAAAATGTTTTATTGCTTGATAAAATAACAGTGAAAATTGAAGGTTTCTCTCTACCCTTATAGTGTATTTTTAGTGTTTATTCTGATTTTCATTTGCCATTTAATGAAAGCTTTAGTCCACATAATTCCTAAGGAAATGGGTGCCTTATTGGAGTATGCATGGTTGAACTCAAAAGTGAATCTGCTCAGTTCCCATGACATCTTCTACACCATCTCAGCTCCACAGAGAGATGTAATACCTTTGATCTTGATCTTACCAATAAGTGTTCTTCTTGGTTGTGAACACTGAAATTACTTTATTATAATCTTTTATTTGTCTTTCCCTGTGCCTTTTAACTCCCTTACCCGCTTCTTCAGCCTCACTGTGACTTCCATTCCTGCCACCTTCTGTTCTTTTCTAGGCCATCACCCATGCCTACATTGGCTATTCTCTCCTTTCTTCCTTATCTCAGCCCCTTGACTGCTCCAGACATCATCATCTCTCCTCAGTCTCCCGTAGCATCTCATCCTCCTGCCCATGCCTTATGTTTCACCAAAAAAAAATTGAGACTGTTTGCCAAGAAATTTCCTTTCCTCCCTTCCCATCATCTCATATCATTCAGACTTTTACTGCAATCTCTCCTTTTTCACTTGAGTCTTAAGTGGAAAAGTAGTCCTTATTGATCCCATTGATCCCATCCTCTCCTAATTTTGCCAGTAAATTCTCCAGTTTTCTTCCGTACTTTCTCTTCACTTCAGTCTCTCCCTTTCTACTGGGTCCTTTCCTGCTGCCTAACATGCTTGTGTCCTGTTCTCCCCCCCATCTTCAAAGAACCCGTGTTTGGCCCTGCCGTCCCAACTGGTTGTTGTGTTATATCTCTTCTACCTTTTGTGGCTCAACTCCTTAAGAAGTCCATCTACATTTGGTGCCTCTGCTTCCTCTCCTCACACTCTCTTCTAAACCTTCAGTATACAACCTGGCTTCTGACCTCATTCTCAACCGAAATTGCCCTCTCCAATTTTACCAGTGGATCTCTTCGTTGCCAGGTATATTGACTTTTTCTCAATCCTGATGCCCCTGTACTTTTCTGCTGCATTTGGCACTGTTGATCACTTTTTCTTCCTGAATATTCACTCCTTTCTAGGGTTTTGTGGCACTGCTCTCTCCTGGTGTGAACATTCTTTTGTTGGTTCTTTTTCCCTGTCATCATACCCATTCATTGTGGTCATCCCCCAAGACTCTGTCCTGAGCTCTCTTTCCCCCTGTATCATCTCGCTTGTTGGTGACCTTATCGGCTCCTATGGCTTCAACTACCCTCTCTTTGCTTGTTGTTGTCCATTCTTGAAGAAGACCACTGACATCGGGAAGGTGATGTCTTGACTTGAAAGTGAATTGGATTTGAGTGAGGCAGTCTTCCCCTCTCTAGCAGACGAATGGCAGATGTGTATATCTAGCACTAATCTCTCTGACACCAGTCACATCACCAACTGCCTTTTGAAAGACTTGAACTAGATGTTCTGTAGACATCTCAAGCTCAGCATGTCCACAACTGAACTCATTATCTTTTCCCAAAAACCTTCCCTTATTCTAGTCTTCCTTTTTTCTGTTGAGGGCACCACCATCCTCCTAGTCACCTGGGCTCAAAACCTCAATGTCATCTGGACTCCTTTCTTCACGCTTGCCTCATATTTCTCCTTTGTTGCCAGATCTTGTCTTTGATTCCTCCACAGCCTCTCTCATATAATTATTCTGCTTCTCTCCACTCACTTAGTCACAACCCATGTACAGTCTCTTGTATTATTGCACTAACCTTCTAACTGGGCCCCCTTTGCTCCTGTCTCCCCATTCTAGTTCATCCTTTTCTCCAGGATCACCCAAAGTTCTCTGTTTGGCATTTAAAGCCCTTCACAAACTGTCCTCTCCCCACCCTCCCTTTCTTCTTGCAGTTTCATCCCCTCCATATGCATTCTGTGATCCACCTGCACTGCCAGCTTGCTTGTAGTTACTCAAATACTGTGCTTCTGTTTTCATGCCTTGGCACTGGCCATCTGTCCCCATGCCTGGAATGCTCTTCCCTCTATCTCGTGACTGTCTCGGCTTCCTTCAAGATTCATCCGAAGTCCACCTTTTGCAGGAAGCCTTATCTTCCCCCACTCCTAATCATTCCAGTATTTATTAGACACCTCCTCTTCTTTGCAGGCTTTGTGCAGAGGACAAGCACAGAGAGAGAAATAATCCCTTTCGCATTGCCTTCTTTTTATTCCATGTATGTCTTGTATGTTCATGGTTATTTCTGTGTTCTCTCCACTTTGAGAATGTAATCTTTTTGGAGGCAGGCAGGGATTGTTGTCACCTTTCTTTGGGGTCTGCTACATGGTAAATATTAGTAAATGCTAAGTGATTGACCCTCTGACTTGCTCCAGACTTAACTGTGTGGGATTGGGTTGCTTCATGGTTTCCTCCTCCATGAAATGGTAGAAGCCTGGTGCTCAATTGACTAGGGTGCCCTGGAATATCATCTCCCCCTTGGGAATTTTTACATAGGTGGTCAGTCAGAAAGAAGTGGTAGCTGAGTTATTTATTTAGTACATCATTGTCTAATGTGGAACTATACCAAGTTCTTAACAGTCAGTCACTGAAACAGATTCTCTGGGAGTGTGATCCCTTATTGAGGTCAGGCTGAAGATGGTCTGACTGAGCTGCCTTTATCTTTCTTTATCTATAGTATCTCCAATTGGAAAGCAGGTATTCGTTGTAATTCCCCTTTGAAGTTTTGTTTTGCTTAAATGTTTTTCTTCATAATGAGAGGGTTTATTGGTAGTGTTAGGGTGAGGGTGTTATTAAGAAGTTACAGCATTCTAAAAAAAAATTTTTTAATTTTTCAAAGAGGGGAAACAAGATTGAGGCACCTGCTGACCCTCACTTTAGCTCCTCATAGAATCTGGTTTCCTTCAAGGATCTGTTCAAGGGCTACTTCCTTCTGTTCCTATTAATAACCCCTTGATCAGTGTTTCCTTCCACTTCATGTTATCTTGTATTGATTCATTTGAATCCAACTCCAGGAGAAGGAAAGCCCATTAACTGTAGAGACACTGATTCTTTTCTGTCTTTGTAAGAAAACAGATTCTTCACCCCCTTCTCCCATCAGTCCTATGGACTATGAATTCTGATGAATTTTTGTCTTTCTACAGAACAATGTTCGAGCTGCTGCTCTAGCCACTGTGAATGCCTGGGCAGAACAGACTGGCATGAAGGAGTGGCTAGAGGGAGAGGATCTATCTGAGGAGCTCAAAAAGGAGAATCCTTTCCTAAGGCAGGAGGTTAGTACTCTAAACAAGGCATTCCTGTGTCCTTAGCCAGCCTTTGTATACACTTAACTAGAGAAACAACACTTAATGGGAAAGAGAAGGTTGAATTTTAGAAGGCTGCTGTACGTGGAGACATGTAAACTTTCGAGAGGAGTAGGCCTCCATACTGGCTTGTGATGTTAACCTCACCTTTCACGAGCTCCCAGATGTAAGAAGTGTAGCTCTAAATCATGGTGCAAAGGTGAATTCTTTGTCATGGGTAAAGATAAATTGTCATAAGCAAATAAGTTGTCATAGTCCTGGTAAAAAGTGACCTTTCTGCTGCTAAACCCCTAAGTACTTAGGATACTTTAAAGCTACCTATTTCTTGGGATGTAAAGAAGAGAAAAGAGGACCATCTGTCTTTTTAGAAAGTGCTTTTTAACAGCGGCCAAAGGGTAAAGTTCAAAGGTACAAAGAGCCAAGACACTTGTTGATATGACTGTACTGTTAATATGTAATGTTACAGTTTTGTGTTTAATTTTTTTAAAATGTGACACAATTTTTGAGTTTATGGGCAGCAAACACATAGTTTTCATCCTTCTTGTGTTAAGAAGTGTAGTTTGAATGGGCCATTCTAAAGGTCCAGGCCTGTGTCCAGTAAAGAAGAACAAGAACATGGGGCTGACAGGCAGGCACCAAAAAGATATTGTAAAAAGTGGACGGCAAATGACTGGATCTGAAGTGAAAGTCAATTTAGAGTCCCGTGGTGTCAGAGTAAACACCGTAATAGAAAGGATAATGATACAGGGACAGTATGCAGTTATGGCAGCTCTGTCTACATCAGTTTAAAAAAGATACCTACTCCAGAAAATGGAAAGTCAACAGAAAGTAAGCTGTCAGCTGTTAGCATTTCACAGTCAGTGCAAAGCGGGCCCCACAGGAGGCGTCAGAAGAGCACAGAAAGCACCTCCAAAAGCAGACATGTCATTTACTGGCCACATGGGAAGAGAGGACCACGGCTTAGCATAAAAGCTCAATGGCGGAACATCACGTGACCTGCCCGTGGGAGACTACTATCGTCATTGCCTCAGATATAGAACAACTAAATGGTTGGAGGAAAAAGTAAGCCAGCAGGAAGCTTGGCACAGGGTCAGTTGGGCCACATCATTCCGCTGCCATTTGATGATGAAACTGGAAGGAAAACAACAAGTGCAAAGCGGAACCATTTGACCAGCATTTTTATAGGGATCTGTTTTCATTGGTGATGGTAACAAAACCACTCTGTTTTGAGTCAACCACCTTATTACCTCATTATACTATACTAGAAAGTCAATCAGCAAGCATTTATCACATTCCCACCGTGTGCCAGGCACTGTGCTGGGTGCTAGAGGCAAAGACAAATAATTAAATTGTCTCATCCCTCAAGCTTGCAGTCCAGCCAGCAGGGACAATACATATGTGGGTATGTGAAGAATATATACAAGGTGATTTGGGATGGGGGAGAGCCCTAATAGCTGAGCACATCCAGAAAGACTTTATGTCTGAGTCGCTTAGGGAATAAGTGGTTCTGTGAGGTGGAGGTGAGGAATGAGAGCATTCTAGGGACAGAAGTTGGCCAGTGCAAAGCCACAGAGATAGAGGCAGAGTGCCGTGCATGAAGAGCAGCAATGCACATGACAGAGTTTTGAAGGATTGTCTTATATCAAATAAGTACGGAGTAAATTAGTGCTGGAGGGGATTTCTCCTACCCCGACGCCTTTCCCATGGCATATATTTGAGTTTTTCTAGAAGGCACAATAAAATAAATTATTCCTATGGCATAGTAATCACTTAAAACATTTGACTTATGTAAAACACCTTTCATAATTTTCAGTCATTCTTACTTTATTCAAAACCATTTGCAGAAGCCAAACATAGAATGTTTTTAGGATAGTTAACTTGACATTTGTTGAATTTATGCTAAGAGTTTAATCATGGAACGCTAGTTTCCAAGGAATTAAAAATTATTTTTACACAGAGGGAAATAGAAAAGTGCATGGAGGTGTGAGTAGGCTGCAGCATATAACAAATAAAGATCTTGGAAGAAGAACTGGAGTAAAGAATACAGTCAGGGAAATGTCTGAGTGAAACAGATGGTCTGGTCATATGGTGAGAGTAGAGGACAGCTCATGGACAGCCTGAGTGAACATTCCACTGATATCCTCAAAATGTCAGGAGAACTCAAGGAAGGTGTCCAGCACTTAAGTGGAACTCCATGGTAAACTTGGGGGATAATGTGGGCGAGTGTTGCCTAGAAGGATGGATGGGTTGCAGTTTGTATCCTTAGAAGAAATTCCCAATCAGTGTTCAGTCAGATCCATTTTAGCATGCTAGGGTATGTATGATAGTATGCTAGGGTCGTCTCAATGGTACTTAAGGTTTACCATGAAAAGTTAGCATCACTACCATCATCCTCTCATCTCTTCCCTCCTCCGCTTCCCATCTTTTCCTAATGGAGTTTGAGGAATACCTGTTGGAGGCCACAAAAAGGAAAGTGCAGTTGGACAAACACATACATGTTCAGGTTATCTCAAGCAAAGGAGAATTACACAAGAACATAAAATTTTGCCCCAAAACTGAGACCTAGAAGACATAAGCAACTGCCAACCCATTTCCTTATTTTTTTTCTCTTAGCCAAATGAGAAGGCATGCCTTGAGTGTTTCCTGGATGAAAATATGAAAGGAGATTATTGGATCATAGTCCTAGAGTTATAAAGGACCTCAGCAGTTATCTAATTCAACCTGCTCACCTTACAGATAGGAAGTGGAGGCCTAAGTAAGACACTTGCCAAAAATCGAGTGGATGACAAAGGATAGGATAGGATAGGATACCTAGCTCTTCTGACCACAACTCCAGTGCTCTTTTATAACACAGTCTGAGCAGGTGACTGGTTTTAGGGTTGCACAAATTTCTGAGCATTGTAGGTAATGTTGGATCCTAATTTTTTTTAATCGTTTGTATTATAAATGTAGCCTCAAAGGCTCTCCTCAAACAAGACTTCTCCCACGTGTCGTGTTCAACAGTGGAAATAATTTTGTTCCATGACCTATGAAGTACTGACAACAAGAAAATATAAACAAAAGATGGGATCCCTGAGAGTAGTGCTGGCTTTTTGTCCTAACATAACTCCAGGATTTAGCAAAGGGTGTTGCAGCTAGTAGACACTTCTCTCTCTCTCTCTCTTTCTCTCACACACGCGTGCGCGCGCGTGCACACACACACACGCGTATGAAAGATATCCTAGACAAAAGAAGGATTCCTTATTGATGACTAAGCTCTCTCCTAAATGCCATTAGCACATAAGGTTGTACTAACCACGGCAAGCTTTGAAACACTGGCATGGGGCTTTAATCTCTCCGATGGCTGTGGATTTTGATCACTGTCCACATAACAAAAAGACTGTGAAAATGGCACATTACTCACACTGTGACATTGTAACAAGATGAATCCTCATTCTTCAGTGCTTATCATAGATGGGCACTGTAAGCGGACAGTGAGCTGACTGAGAAGCAAATAGGAAGAGATGGGGCTGGATCTCATTTGAGGAATTGTGTAGTTCCATGATTTTGAGCTGCAATACTTGTGACTGAATTAAGGCTCACCATGAAGCAAAAGAAATAACATTAATAGTTGACATGTGTCTATTGCACTCTAAAGTTTGCTCGGTGCTCATGATCTCCTTTGGGCCTCACCACACCACCGTGAGGTGGACGCTACAGGTGATGTGCCCATTTTGCAGATGAAGAGCCTGGTGGGCAGGGACTTGACTACTTCATATGTACTTTCACAGGTAATAATAACAGGCTTCAAACCCAGGTCTTTAACTTCAGGCTGTCCTTTCTCTGCAGCATGTCACTGATGACAAATTGCATGTGAGAATGTAGTATGTAAGACATTATCAGTTACTTCTCTATCATTCTTGCTACATCTCTATTTTACTTCCTTTTCTTATATAATAAATGGATGGCTTAAGTGCTGGTGGGTCCTCTGTGAAGGAGTTATGGACATCACCCAGCAAGAATGTGGTAGAATGAGATAGTATGATGGAGTTGCAGTGAACATTGGTGGAGGGGATATACACACAAGGAACATCTTAAATCCATCAGGTTATTCCATGCAAGAACTGACTCGGTGTCGGGAACTTGTCAAGCCTCGTAGTTGTCTCCTCAGGTGCCTAACTGATCTCTGTTTTCTTTTGACAGCTGCTAGGTTGGCTGGCGGAAAAGCTTCCTGCTCTCCGCTCCACTCCCACAGACCTCATCCTGTGTGTCCCTCATTTGTACTCATGCTTGGAGGATCGGAATGGAGATGTACGGAAAAAGGCCCAGGATGCCTTGCCATTCTTCATGATGCATCTGGGCTACGAGAAGATGGCCAAGGCCACTGGGAAACTCAAGGTAGACCTTTAGGAAAATTTAGAAGAAGCCATACACTATTCGCCTCTCATTTCTGAGTCAGGGCTTAAACTATTTGTGAGAGGAGAAACATCCTATTTGGCAGTGTAGAATCTCTCCAAAAAGAATTCTTTCCTGACTTCGATGTCCTCCCAGAAACTTTTGTCCTTACAGTACGGTGACTGAGTATGATTGCATATGGTTACTTTCCTCCCTGTGTGCTGCCTTTCTCCCTTCTGTGCATCAAAACTGGGAGCACTCCTAGTAGCCCCAAGCAGTTAAAGTCATTCGGTTGAGAACAAATCTGCTAACAAGTGTACATTAGGTGTTTCATGTATGGTGACTGATTTATGGGCTCTCTCTCCCTAGCCAACTTCCAAGGACCAGGTACTGGCCATGCTAGAGAAAGCTAAAGTCAACATGCCAGCCAAACCTGCTGCCCCTGCGAAAACATCCTCCAAACCTGCGGGAGGGGCAGGTCCAGCCAAATTCCAACCTGTATCAGGTACATGTCTCTCATAAGGATAAGATAGGCAGGAAAGGATGTGTCCTTGCCAAGAGTCCAGCCAAAATTCCGTATCATAGCTCCTTGGAGCCTTTGTTCTCAAAGTGGTTTCTCACTTTTTTTTTCTTTCTCAAGGACTAGGACAGTTGGTGGGAGGTTATCTGGTCTGATTTCTGTCTCTACCGTGTACCTTGAATACATCCCTTTTTCTCCATTCAGCTATCACTAAAGTGCTTAATTTGGGTCCTTATCACCTCTTGCCTAGATTATTATAACAGCCCCTAATTTGTCTCCTTGCCTTAGATCTCTCCTTACAGCTTCTAAAAATGCAGGTTTGGCCATATCTCTCCATCCCCTCCCCCACCCCACTAAAAAACAAAACAAAACTGTAGGGATTCTCTGTTCCCTGGGATTAAACATAAATCCCCGTTTGGAAGTTAAAGTTCTTTACAGTCTACTGTCATCCTAACTTTCCAGACTGTTCTCTATCTTTCCCCCGACCCCTGCACCCCACCCCACCCCCAGCACTTTGTGTGGTCTAGTCAGACTGGTTCTCCCATGACTGGCTACTCTCATTCCTCACTGACATCACTTAGAATCTCTGGTTTTCTCCCAGGTGCAGCTCAGGCCCCACCTACTGGAGGCCCTTACTGGTGCCTCACCCTCCCCTTCCCCCTTATCCTGGATTTGTTTTGCATAAATTTTGTCTATACCTACATGTGTGCATTTTGTCTCCTATTAGAATATAAGCTCCTTGAGGGCAGAAACTGTTGCCAGTTTTGTCTTTGTACTGCTTGACTTTGTGATATTTAGATAATAGCACAATGCCTGGTATGACTGGCACATAGCAGATGCTAAATAAATGCACCAAGAGCTACCGCATGTACAGTCCCAGAAGGTAGTAATTCATCCTGTCTTTAAACCTACAACCACCCCCCGTAAATTGACATAGAAAGTTAGGACTAGAGGAGACCTTAGGTACCGTCTTGTCCAGACCTGCTCATTTTACATCAGAGAGAGAGCCCCGTTCCACGAACCTCGTGCATCCCAGGCCCAGGACTTTTCAGGTCCTCCTGCATTGTCTCTCAACACGGGCCATCTTGATCAGTCATCCATGTGAAGGTTTCCTCCTTTTACTCCACTTTGGGAGCTACAGGGCACATGGGATACAGCCTAGTTTAGTAAGCTGGCTTATGGGCTTTGGATTCTGAGCTGCAAGAACATGGCTCTCACCAGAAGTTGTTACTGCTACAATTCGCAGTCTTATTGGGATTGAGCTGAATCTCAGAATATCTCAGGATATCTCTGGGGACAGTTAATTTAAAATTGCACTATTTTTGCTAGGCTGTTTTGTGAGGATGGTACCATCACTATTTCTTGTCTGTAGAACCAAGGAGTTGTAGTGAACAGGGAAGCTAATAAAACTGCCTGTTAACCATTGGTTTGGAATAACAAGTTCTTTTATCATGTTGGTATATTTAAACTCCTGTTTTTCACTTTAGCAAAGTGATAACATTTCTACTTTGTACCTTTTTTTAAGTGAGACTTCCTATAAGGTAGCAGTATAGGAAGAATACATGGGAGCCAGCTCTACCCAGATCTCAGCAAGATAACAAATGTTCCCTTTTACCAAAAAAACTCCCCAAAATGGAGAAGAAACTCCAAAATAACTAAAATTGAAAATGACCTGGCTATTTCTATCTATGAGGTGCTGTTCTGCTGCCCGGGAGTCGTATAGCTTGAACTTAGGCTACTATCTCAAGCCCCTCATGCTTTATCTTCTATGGCACCCCCTATGGTAGGGACTTCACTTGTCTATTTCCTATCTCCACAAACCTCCAGGGGCTTCCCCCAGCTTATTTCCATTCCCAGCACTGGCCTAGACCAGGCCTACTCAGGCCTGCTTCCAGGTCTTTTATAGTTTCCTATGCACTGCTCCCCCCATTATCAAGCCAGAAGCATCCAACCCAGCACCCAGCCTAAGGTAAAGGGAGTCTTTGGCTCTACCCTCCCCACATGTATCAGGATCCCATGTGGCTCCTTAAGTCTTTTATTGGAGCAGGGTAGACTCCCTTCCACTCTCCTGTCTGACTCAAAACCTGAACAGAGGAAGATGCCCTCTTTTCCTCTACTCTTATGTTCCCCATACATCCCCCACCCCAAAACAAAGTCACCACATGGAAAGTCCTCACCAAAGCTGCTCTTTCCTCTCCCCCTTACCCTGCTGGCAGCCATTGCTGTTCTCTCTTGAGCCCCTGTCACCAGGTATGACCTTTCTATCATTTCTGTCCCTTGAGTTAAAGAAATGATTAGTATCTTATAGTTATAGCTCAAAGGGACATTAGTGGTTATCTGGTTCAATCCTCTCATTTTACAGATGGGGAAACTGAGGCCCACATTGAGCCATATGTCCTCTGACTCAGAATCCAGCCTTCTTTCCACTGTGCCATGCTGAACATTTTTGACATGGTAGAGAACCAAAGACGTTATAAATCTTCTTTAGGTGTGCAATGTCTGAGGTGCCAGCTCTACCAAAAGCTAAATTAAGCAATCCAGTATCAGAAAATGCAAAATCAAAAGATGAACAATAAACAAATCACTCATCTCAGCTGCTTATTTAATAAATTGAAATTAGCTAAAAAAAGGAGAAATAGGATATACATTGGTTTTTGAGTAAGTGTAGAGTGCCCCTCAAACTGGTCCAGTGCTAGGTTGTAGAGAAATAGCATATCAGTTCATTGTTTTGTTTTCAGATGGTGTGGTGTAATTAGAAACAAATGAGTAAAAATTTTAATGGAAACTGAAAAACTCTTCAATAGCAGTTGGTCTTAAAAAGAAATAAGAAAAAAGATAATGTTTAGAGGTCAATGACAGCAGTAATTTCTGCATATTAAAGTCTTGGAGGCACCCGACAGAACAGTTCTTAGAGGCAAATTTCTATTGCTGAGTGTTGATGTTGAAAAAAAGTATTTCCTTGATCAAGCAGGTATTAACCACTAATGTGACGTAACTGACACTGTGCTAGGCAAAAATAAAACATTCCCCATCCACGTGGAGGGTACATTTTGTTGAGGGAAAGAACACATATTTGTAGAAGTGAAGATAAAAAGTGAGTAATTTACAGTAGTTGTGAGCAGTGTAACAGAGATTCCAGAGGACATGGTGGATGGGTAAGCAGGTGGCCTAGAACTGACAAGGATGGGCCTGGCATACTGACAGGGGTCAGGAAAGGAAGCTGTGGCCTCCGCAGTCACCAGCGCAGAATCACAGGCATTCTTAGTGGAGGTACTGAGCAGTGGGGTTCAGCATCCTTCAGTGTGGCAAACGATGAGGGAGGTGGAAGTAGAACCCCCACAGAGAGGGGTATAGCTGCCCCCTCCCTAGTTGGTGATCAAGGCAGGGACCAGGTTAGTTCTAGACAAGTCAAGTGTGTTTGAGGTCCTTCAGGACCTCAGGAGGTCAGGTTTGCCCCAAGACTCACTTCAGTGCTGAGGAGGGTCTTTCACCTAAAGATACGAGAGGCAGAGTAAAATGATAGTGCAGAAGGTTGGGGTTTTTGTTGTTGTTGTTGTTGTTGTTTTAAAAGGTTATTCTACTAATTTCTGCTCTTAACTTTTTAGAAAATGAAAGAAAATTGAATTGATAAATAAAACCAGGATCTAGTTCTTTGAAAATACCATAAAATTGACAAATCATTAGCAAATTTAATCAAAAAAGGAGAGAGAACGAAATTACAAATGGAAAAGGTGAGATTGTAGCAAACACAAAAGAAAGTAAGAACATCATGAGCAGGGGACAATTAAACTCACAACTAGATACTAAAAATATAGAAGATAATTTCTTAGAGTAAAAAAGTTATTTACAAAAATATAAATTACCTAAATTTGCATAGTAAGAAATTAATAATAATAACAAGCCAAGCTAGAATAAAACAGATTACAAATGATTCTAGTACTCCGTCCCACCCCATCCCCTGCACACAATACACACACACACACACACACACACACACACACACACACGTACACGTGTGCATGCACGCACATGCAAGCATGTATCAGATGTATTCTCTGATGAATTTTTTCAGACTTTCCAAAAACAAAACTACTTTTATTCATCAATGCAACAAAAGGTAAAACTCTAGCCAGTAGTTTTCCTAAGGAAAATATAATGGTTATTCTTAAAATACGACAAAGATAACTCTAAAAAAGGTTATATATTCATTTGTTAAAATGAATATAGATTGAAAATTATGAAATAAAATTTTACATTATAAAATTTTGTTCATAGCAAAACGGCTTCAAAATTTAGAAGCTGTACGTAGTAGTTGTAGTTTCATATACAATCCTCTTTTTCTGTTCTACTTTGTATATAGAAGTACTCAATTTATTTTGTGTTTAAGGTCAGAGTAACGAAAAAAATTTTAAAAAGAAAGAAAAATGATTGTTCATGACTAAGAGGAGATTCCATTCACTTTATCAGGCATGTAGAATATCAGAGACAAGTTAACAACCTAGTAGATAGAGCATAAACAAAAGAAACAAACCCAGATGAAGAGAAAACATTTGATAAAAATAGAACTTTTATTCCTGACTGAAAAAACACTGAAAGGAATAGAAATAGAGGGATTTTTCTCTATATGACAAAAAAAAAAAATCTGAAGACAAGAGCCAGCATAATGTAGAATAAAAAGGCATTACAAACGGTTTCACTAAAAAATCAAAACAAAGATGTGGACTTTCACTGGCATAAGACAGTGGATCATGAGCTGGATTTGGAGTTAGGATCCTGACCTCAGTTTGAAACCCAGTTCTGCTACTTACAACCGGTGTGACCTTAGATGAATAATTATTTAAACCTCTGACCCCCAGGTTCTTCCCACTATAAAACGAGAGTGTTAGACTTGATCTTTCTGCCTGTAAATCTGTGAGCCTTTGACCACATCTCTTTGGCATTATATTGGAAATTGCAGCAAGTTCAATGACAGGACAAAGAAATCAGATTATTTGGAATTGAAGAGGTCCAAATTGGGTCTTTTCCAGTTCTGACTCTGGAACCTTTATAGGTAATTTGATAGTATCTCTAGAAAATCATCTTCCTCAGAAAATTGAGACAAAGTATTATTAGCAAGATCACAGTATATAAGATTAACCACAAATTATTTGTACTTTTTAGTAGTAGTAAAGATCAGGAAAACAAAGAACTCTACTTGCAAAAAAAAAAAAAAAATCAAATACTTGGTAATTAACCTTTCTAGATATAGACGTAACCTGTATGAGAATGAGAGCAAAACTGTAATGATTGAAATAAGGCCTAAATAATTTGAGTGACATTCAGAGTTCGTGACTAGGGCTGATCAGTATAATAAAAATGAAGATAAAGAATTAATATATAAACGATTTCCTCATACAATTGGAAAATCTAATGAAATTTATATCAAAAAACAGTGGCAAGAACATTAAAGGTTTTATTGGGGAAAAGCTGAAAAAGGTAGCCCGGAACTTTTAGACTTAAAAATTAGAGTGTAGTTATCAAACCTGTCTGGTTCTGGACCAAAACATAAAGAAATAGATCAGTGAGTTATAACATACCTGAGATTGCCAGTGGAAATGTATACAAATTGTGAGTAATTGATAAGTGCATGGGAAATTAAAATTAGGGAAAGAGTTTGTTATCTAACAGATGCACTAGGGGAAATTTTGCTATTTGGCAGAAAATGGATTTAGACATATCATACCATATACCCTACTCAGATGACAGAACTCTCAGTTCCAACAGTCTAATGGGACTTTTAAAAAGAAAGAAAATAGAAGAATACATTTATTTCAGTTGTAGGGAATAGATTATTTTTGTTGTGGAGAGGACCAAGCTAGATGCCTGATTATACTAAAATAATTTCTGTTCATTGAGAAGCAAGATGATCAAAATTACAAGAAAACACAGGAAAAATTTCTTGCAAATATGACAGGTAAAAATAACACTGAAATTTTATGTGGAACTGTTAAGAAATTATAAAGCCTTCCCTGATGAATAATGGTCAAAAGATATGAACATTTTGCAAAAGAAGAAATACATATTGTTTATGATCACTTGGGGAAAAAATTCAGCCTTCCCAGTGATCAAAGAGATAGACTAAGCCACCACTTCACACCAATATAATGGAATGCTCTAAAGTAATTAAAATCAAAAGTCATAAGGAATAGAAAGAAATTTGGGAAAGACTTTTATGAAATAATGCACAGTGAAGAAAGCAGATTCAGGACAACAGAGCAAACTGTGACCATGTAAAAGGGAAAGGGAGAGGGAATGGATGGACCAGATATTCAGAGGGATTGAAGGGATGGTGCCTAAAAATTCATTTGTCATGCCATTGCATATAGTTTCAAAGTAAGTTTAGTTGGTGGTACTGATGATTAACAATAAGTTTATAGTCATTTTCTGAAAATAGCTTGAAATAGCTTCTTTTTCTTCCCCGTCAAAGCACCTGTGGAAGATTCCATGTCCAGCCCTGCAGAGTCCAAGCCTGACCCTAAAAAAGCCAGAGGTGGAGGGGTTTCCTCAAAAGCCAAGGTAAGAGAATTTTTTACTTAGTTTTAAATGACTTTTACCCATCTGATTTCAGGACAAATAGAAGTTGAGGTTAGCAAAATTTTTTTTATAAATGTGTGAAGCACCATTATTTTCATTACTCTTTGTGTCCTTACAAGTAGAGTATTTGTAAATAAAGGTCTTCCCTAGGAGATTTTTAAAAACTAAAGCTGACAGCGGCTGCCTTTGAGGGCAAACTCTGTTTTCTAGATATGCTATTACTGACCCTACTTCTTTTAAAAAGCTCTGTAGTAATAAGAATGAGACCTACTTTTTCAAACGTAGAGTCATCCCAACCCCTTTCTTTCTTCTACCCTTCCCTCCCCCCGTTGAAAAAGAAAAGCAGAAGAGTAGCAGTAGAGTTTCCAACTGGCAGTAGGAGAGAAAGAGAGAGAAAAGAGGGTCATTGAAACGTGTTTTTAAATGCACAGAAAAATCGGACAAGCAAGACAACTTTGAAAATTTTTTTTAATTTAACCTTTTTATTTATTTTTTCTTATTTTGTTCAGTGATTTTTTAAAAAATTTTTTTTTTTTGGGTGAGGCAATTGGGATCAAGTGACTTGCCCAGGGTTACACAGCTAGTAAGTGTCAATTGTCTAAGGCCAGATTTGAACTCAGATTCTCCTAATTCCAGGACCAGTGCTCTATCCACGTGCCACCTAGCTGACCCTTACCTTTGAAAGTTACGTTAATTTTATTATGCGCTTAAATGGAAAAGCAAGCTGTATTTGATAGACTGAAATTTTAATGTACAGTCCTCTTTTTCTGGTATAGTCTGTCTATGGAAATGTACATTTTATTTGGCATTAAGTTAAAAATTAAGAAAGACCTCATATAAACTGCTCAATAAAAGGAAAAAAGAGAAGTTCAGTACTGGTGATAGGGGATTACAGACCTCAAACCATGTGATTATTCATTACACCTCCTTATTTCTTAGAGGAACTAAGAGCCCTCTTCTGTTTATTCTGTCACTCTTCTCTTTCTTTCCCCATGTTCATAATCTAGTGAGTCTGCCTAACAGCAGTTCACTAAATTAAGCTGTGAGGATGAGGTCCTTTTTTATTCTAGTTCTTGTCTCCTCTTCCCTCCCCTCTCATCCAAATCTCTTATTTGTGGGCAGGAAGGGAGTTTTTATTTATTTTTTTTTTTCTGTGTCTCAGAAATGGGCCGAGGCTGGTTTTTACCACTAATAGGTGATTTGGCTAGGGAATAAAACCTCCTAGCTATTTAAGGATTTTTGAGCTACTTTTGTTGTTTATTGTATTGACCTTGCACATTTAAATTCATAGTCAGCATGAGCTTACATTAACTGCTCCATACATTCCTCTTAACCAGTACAAACATTTTGGAACTTGCATTATATTTAAAAACTACTTAATGATTTTCAAAATACTTTCCTTGAATGGGTCAAAAGGCAAGCTAGGTGGAGCACTGGGCCTGAAGTCAAGAAAACCTGAGTTCAGATTTGGCCTCAGACTCTTACTAGTTGTGTGACCCTGGGCATGTCATATAATCTCTGTCTGCCTCAAGTTTCCTCATTTGGAAAAAGGGGGTGATAATAATAGCACCAACCTCCCAGAGTTGTTGTGAGGATCAAGTGAAATAAATCATAATTGTAAAGCACCTAGCACAGTGCCTGGCACGTGGTGGGTGCCATGTAAATATTAGCTGTTATGGTCGACATCATTGTCAGTCTGTGACAGTGAGCTACAAAGGGGTTGTGATTAAATCGTTCCATACTGAAGGATAGAACAAAGCTTTTTGACCTAAGGAATATGAAATGTAGCCCTCTTTTCAGAGTTCTTTTAGCGCAAATACCTGGAAGTAATATTGAGGGCTTCATGTAGCTCATTACTTTGATTTGCCTGAACAAAAATATTTTTTGGCTTATTGCAGCTGTCTAATGGTAATGACAGCTTTTCTGACTGCAATACTAGCCTGAGCAAGAAATGGACAGCCACACAGGTACCCAGGAACAGGACCATAAGCACGGGTATGGTTCTCACGGGCGCTTGGTCAGCTGTGGTGGAGGGACCTGGTTTTGTTGTTAGTAGGGCACACACAGAGAGGATGTGGCATGTTCCCTGTGAGATTCTGTGGTCGTTTGTTTCTCTTTCATGTGGAACAAAGCACTGGCTCGCCACCTTGGGTCAGTGTGGTAGAATCTGCACTTTGCTTGGGCAGCCCATGCCTTCCTGAGGACAGCTTTGTTTGGCTGTGTTGCTGATCATTTGCCCTTCCATGTTTTCTTTTGCTCATCATTCTCCCCACCATCTCTCCAGGGTGTACAAGGAAAGAAGATGCCAAGTAAAGCTAGCTTAAAAGAAGAAGACGATAGGTCTGGTCCTATTTTCATTGTTGTACCAAACGGGAAGGAGCAAAGGATGAAGGATGAAAAGGCATTAAAGGTAAAGCCCAAGTATAGTCCAGAATCACTGCTGTATCAGGTGGTGCCTTGTCTCAGAACTCAATCTTACTGTGTTACAGGAGCTAATATAAAACTCTTTAGAAAAGCCGTAATTCCTACAAAAGACTGTGTAGAACAGATCTACCACATACCTTTTGTTTCAGCAGAGAAGAGCTCTTCATTGAGCCTCTTAAGATATGCTTTGTAACATAGGGAAAATTCCTAAGGCACAAACCACTTTATTTCATCGTCAGTCCCTTTTGAACTCATCGTGATTATCAGGCTTCATTTGTAGACTGCGTGTCTGGCTGGTCCAGCTTTTGTCTGAACATCAGTAATTGAGACTTGACTAGGATCCTTCCCTACATCTGCATGTGCAAGTTCACCCAAGTTCATTCAACAAACATTTCATAATCCCTAGTATGTGGTATGTGAAAGGCTAGGCACTGGGGATAAAGAGACAGAAGCAAGACCGATACTGCCCTTGACCTGACATTCCACTGGGGGCTCAGATGATTAAATTCAAGGTTATTTTGAGGACCAAGAAAACCCTTGAAAACATTAGATTGAGGGTGACACTGAGCCGTGAAGGAAGGGACACAAGACTGCTTAGGCTAAATAGAGGTCAATGCATGTCATGCTTTTTTCCTTTTTTAAGTGAGTTCATCTGTGAGCACAGACCCTGTTGAACTTTGGCATCTGGGGCTCTGACCACCCAGAATGCCGTATCACAAGCAAGGGTTCTTTCTGTAATCCCTTTGCACAAACATTGGGCTCATCAGCTCAGCCATTCCCCAGGTGCTTATCTGTGACCACTTGCAGGTGCTGAAATGGAATTTCACCACTCCCCGAGATGAGTACATCGAGCAGTTAAAGATGCAGATGTCCAGCTGCGTGGCCAGATGGTTACAAGATGAGATGTTTCACTCAGACTTTCAGCATCACAACAAAGCCCTGGCTGTTATGGTTGATGTAAGTTTGGAGTAGAATGTAAAAACATACGCTTGTTTTGTGGAGAGGTTGAGCAGTTAGAGGCCAGATTGAGGGGAGAGGGGCAGCTTGGTGGCACAGTGGATAGAGCACTGGTCCTGAAGTCAGGAGGACCTGAGTTCAAATCAGGCCTCAGACCAAACACTTGACACTTACTAGCTGTGTGACCCTGGGCAAGTCATTTAACACCAGTTGCCTAAAAAAAAAAAAAAAAGATTGAGGGAACAGGTTGTTATTCCCAGCTGAGATTTGGGTCTTATATTTGATCAACTGTACCATGAAAAATAAACATTGAAACAGCAACATGAAGTAAGAAACCTGCCCAATCCCAGAAGAATTGCCATTCATTTTCCAATGCTGTAGCTTCTCATAGCCCTGGTGATGGTGTCATCAACATATTGCTTCTATCTCTGCCTCCATTGATTTTCAGCCACATATTCTCTACTTCCCTACTCTTATTTCTGGGTTTTCTCGCCTGAGTCCTTTTTTTTTAAAATATGCATGTGTAATATTTTTTTTTAACTTTTGTTTTTAAAACTTTGGGTTCCAAATTTTCTAAAACTATAGAACGCTTCACGAATCTGCGTGTCATCCTTGCACAGGGGCCACGCTAATCTTCTCTGTATCATTCCAATTTTAGTATATGTGCTGCCAAAGCAAGCACCTGAGTACTTTTTTATCAATAGAAACATCTGCCCCATCTCTCTTCTCCTCCACCCACGTTGTGCCCATCTTGTTTCCTTTGAATAAAGTCTGTCCTTCTAGAGCCACATTCCTGTGCCAGGCCTCATCTCACAAAGTCTTGGTGATGCCTGGGAGTCCCATGTGCATCATTGAGTCAGCATTCCCAGCTCTTCCTGCTTATACAGATCCTTCTGTACTTTCTAGACATGCCTCACCCATATTTACTTGTGAAGTTGATTATTTGAATCTAAGACTAAGACTTCACATTTGTTCAGTTCTTAAGCATTTTCAGAGAAGCATTGTAACATGTTAGATGGAAATCTGGCCTTTGAGTGCCAAAGAGCTGAGTTTGAGTCCTGCTTCTGAGACTTATTGGCTTGGTGACCTGGGCAAATCATATAACTTCTCTGAGACCCAAGCAGATTTCAGGACTCCAGACAGATAGGTTTATTCCTGTCATTATTGGGCATACTCCATCCAAAGGCCAGCAGCCTTTCATTCTGCTTTAATTTAAATCTTAGTCTAAAATTCAAAACTCTTTCTCAGATACTATTTTCATCAGCTGTTCTCTTGCCCCAATTGCATTTCTTGTGTGAATTTCTTGTCTTCTGAGGAAAACAGTGATGAAAACGCTACTGGTTCCCTAAGGTCTTGAGAGTCTTGCCCAAGACTTTCATAATCCTTAGCAATGATTTATAGATTCTTTCTGCAGTATTGCTTGTGTTAGTGTGAATCGCCCAGTGTAGGTAGTAGTCACTTTCCCAAAACTCTCCTTTCATCATGCCCTTCCTCTGTTAAAGGACCTCCATTGACTTTCTTTTACCAAGTGTAAACAGCTCTCTCCACCTGGCATTCAGGGTGCTCCATGACATGGTCCCCGGACAAGGATCTCACCTTTAGGGGACCATCAGCTAGGTTAATGCTCACATACAATCTAAAAACTGACTTCTAGCACCTTCTGCCTTGCTTCTTTGCCACCATTCTGTCTCCATCACCGTAGAAATACAAGGGCGCAAAATATAGATTGTTGTAAAACTTTGTTTCACGTGTTTCTATAGCAAAAACAACAACAGTCACTAAGTATAATTTCAGTGGTGATGAGTCTCCCTGTATGTAATTGCATTGGCCTTTGGAGAACAAATTAGACCACACCCCAGATCCTCTCTATCATGGTAAAGCTTTCAAGGCCTGGCACTCTGCTGGCATAGTCTTTGGAACCCAGGGTCTCATTTGTACCGTAATGAAACAGAGGGATAGGACTTTTTCAGAGGAATGGAGTATTTTAACGCTGTGTAGAAGAGAAACATAAAGAGACAAGGTGGTCTCTTGTGCTCTGTTCTGGTGACAGAGTTGGGAAATCCCTGGGTTTGAATTTGTAGTAAAAGTAGCAGAATTTCAGAGGGGCCTTAGAAAATGGAGGGCAAAGGCATTCTTTGTTGTCTGTTAATTTATTTGATTCTGTTTTCTTAAAAGCCATGGTCTTTTAATATATTTTATTTATTTTGTTCAAGTATTTGTTTTTGTTGACAGTTATGCTATAAGTTGGGGAGGGAAAAACCTAAAATCAAGTGCCCATAGTTTGCAGTATTCAGCTATGGTACAGTTAAGTAGGTATTTGTTCAATGAAAATGCGTCTTTTATGCAATCGGAGTTGTACTCTTTTCTTGTCTTCAAGCACTTGGAGAGTGAGAAGGAAGGTGTCATTAGTTGCCTGGATCTTATCCTGAAGTGGCTTACCCTGAGGTTCTTTGATACCAACACCAGTGTCCTCATGAAAGCTCTGGAGTACCTGAAGTCACTCTTTACTCTGCTGAGCGATGAAGAGTACCACCTGACTGAGAATGAGGCTTCTTCCTTCATCCCCTATCTCGTCCTCAAGGTGGGGTGGCCTTCTTTCTCTGAAAATAATGAGCCACTTTCCAGTATGATCGTTCTTATCTCTCCTCTATTCTTAGGTTGGCTACACAGTGTCACCCCTTCTTTTCTTTAAGAACAGACTGTATATGGAGAAAAATACATAAAAAGTACTTTGCTTTACTGGATTTTTCTTGTTGACCAGGTTGGGGAGCCAAAAGATGTTATTCGCAAAGATGTTCGTGCCATCCTAAACCGGATGTGCCTTGTCTATCCAGCCAGCAAAATGTTCCCTTTTATCATGGAAGGAACCAAGTCCAAGAATTCCAAGCAGCGAGCAGGTAGAGTATGTAACTTAGTTTGGGGCAGGAGTTCATTGAGTTTCCTTACTGATCAAGCAACCAGCATTTATTGAGTAACTACTGAATAAATGTACCTGTTGTGCATTAGGCACTGAGGATGATAAAAAGACCGCAATGAAAAGCAGGTTCCACATGAATATCCTGTGTAGTTGATCCTAGTTAAGGTTACATATGGCAAGGTCACACACTTTTTAACTTGGATTAGGAGATTGTGGATTAGTTGAAGCCTTATGGACCCATGGGAACTACCCATTAACACCCTGGTCACAAAACTAAGTGCCCAGGGGCCAGCTGCCCCACAGCCTTCCTACCTGAAACCCCATGTGTTTCACACAGGTGTTCTATAGAGGAGAGGCTGGCAGGGCTAGAGTAGTTGGGGTTTCAACGTGTCCCAAGGGAGAATCTGTCCAGCAAACCTAGATCACTGTACCAGGTGTCTCTTGGTCACATCTTGTGTTAGTCCAGCCTTTCTGGATGATTTGTTGGGTTTTCTCTTTGATTTCCTTAGAATGCTTGGAAGAGCTAGGTTGTCTGGTTGAATCCTATGGCATGAATGTTTGCCAGCCAACCCCAGGAAAAGCCTTAAAGGAGATGGCTATCCACATTGGCGATCGCGACAACACCGTTCGCAATGCTGCCCTCAACACCATTGTGACGGTCTACAATGTGCATGGGGATCAAGTGTTCAAACTCATTGGAAATGTGAGTGGCCTTTTTTTCTTGGAGATAATCCTCTCATCAGGGTGGTGTGGATGGATGGTCCCCAGACACCCTGGTGTTTGTCTCAGCCGTTCAGTGTTTCATAGATAACCCGCTGAAGGAATATAGCAAACTGACCAGCCTTGTGGCAGACCTAAAATTATGAATTAGAGGAGGTTTGAGAGTCTCCTTCTGGCTGCTTACTCAGAGCAGTTCACTAATATGGCTGGACCTTCCACGTAACAATAAGGAGACCACTTTATATCAATCCATGTGAGACTTTTCCAAATGCTTTGAAATGTATAATCTAGCAGCCCTTGGGGTGGATTGAGTGGATGGAGGATTAAAAATTCAGAAACTGAGACAAAAAGAAAGAAGCAGGTGATTAGTGGGGAGGAATAGTCATACTGGCAGGGATACAGAGCTTCACATAATACATATTTGCCCCTTTCATTGGTGGATCCTTACCGATGTTGCTTCTCCTTTATTCTTCTACTAGTAATGTGCTCTGTCATGACACTAGTTAGTTATTAATTAGTAGTGGTTAAAGAGACTTCAGCTTTCTGTGCATTAACACAGTAAGAGTTTTTATCTGTATGTAGAGCCAGTTCTCACTTGACATAAGTGGACAAGTCTGCAGACCTCTCCCTCCCCTCACAGAGCTCCACATGGCCCCACCCCTTCTGAGGCTCTGCAGGCCCGAAGCTAGACTGGCTTCAGGGCTTGGGGACCCTCAAGGACCCTTGGCACAGGCTGCCCCGCTACTGCTTCCTGCCAGGAGCCAGAGTCCAGGCTGGCTTGGCCTCGAAGAGGAATTTGCATAATGTGAATTTACATAAAGTGAGAACTGTCTATATACAAATGTGGGTGTTATATCTCTTTCCTCATTTTTGATCTATAGTCTTTGAAATCTAGCAGGGAGAACATGTCAAGTATTCTAAGCTCACAGAGCGTAAAGATGCTTTGAATTCAACTTTGATTTGTCACACAGCTTTCTGAAAAGGACATGAGCATGCTTGAGGAGAGGATTAAGCGATCAGCAAAGAGGCCAGCGGCTGCCCCGATAAAACAGGTGGAAGAGAGACCTCAGCGAACTCAGAACTTGAACTCCAATGCCAACATGTTACGCAAGGGGCCAGCTGAGGACATGTCCTCCAGACTCAAGTATGTACCAGGAAGTGACCGTCTGTGGACCTCCTTGTGGTCTCTGCCCTTATGCTCAGAGCCTGTCCTGTAATGGGATCTTGAGTTCTTGTAACCATTGTCTTGCATGACAGAGTGTCTGGGCAAATATTATGTAACAATGTTTGATCCTTCCGTCTTCATTGTCTTTGTCTTTGTCTCAAAACCTCTTCTAAATGGTATTGTGCCTTCTTTCACTGCTTCTCCGTGGACAGAATTATGTATCGCACTTACAGGATGTAAGTACTGCCTGCTAACTCCTGTTAGCAGGACTCTTATATCTTTGTAACTTCTGACTTGGCTTCATCCCCTCTGCAGGGTGACCGCCTTAGAGTTTAAGAGCAGGGTGGTGGGGGTGTCCATAAGGATGGATAGAGTTGAGTCCTCTTCCTGTTCACAGGCATTTGTAGCCTGACCACTAATACATGTGGCAGTTCAGTGCTGGGAGCCTCCCGTTGTCAGCCCATCGTCCTCCTGTGCATCGTGACGCTTGATCATAGCTAGATTCTGTTTGGGGGCGACAGCTGATAAGCACGCAATCCAGAACTGGCTCACATGGGGTATACTTCTGGGGGTCATGCCACAAGGATGATGTTGACTCCTGTGAATCCCGGAAGTGTTAACATCCAAAGTTCAGATGAGCTGGCATCCATTCCTCGCCACAAATATTCCCACGAAAAGAAGTAACTCCATCTCTGGGATGCTCCACTCTGAGCACTGCCTGAACTGATCCTCATAATGAACATATCTTTAATGCCGGTGAATTTGGCGGGGAACATGGGCGGGAGAGCCATCTCTTTGACCTTTTATGCTTTGGTCACAAAGAGGTGGGCTCTGAGCCGGTTTGTGCTGCCACATGTGTATATAGACACAGTCTTGGTTCTTCTCCAAGTAAAATTGCGTTAATCTTTGAGTGTAAATTAACTAATAGCTCCCCTTCCAGAATATCTATGAGTCAGGGCAGTTAACAGCTAAGAGCCCTAATCAAGGACTCGAGCCAGTCAGGGGGGTTGAGTGAAACCAGAAGTTAAACATTTGCTTGGAAGCTTTTTGGCCCCTGGTGGGCCTGCTCGTACGACTTGATGAAGAGATCCTACACTCATGCAGTCAACTCCTTTTTTCTCCCTTTAGCCAAGCTCGCAGCTTAAGTGGGCACTCTGAGGCGGCCCATACAGTACCCCGCGAATTCCAGCTGGACCTAGATGAAATAGAAAATGATAACGGTACCGTCCGATGTGAGATGCCAGCCCTGGTCCAGCACAAACTGGATGACATTTTTGAGCCAGTCCTTATCCCCGAACCCAAGTAAGTCCAAACTCTTCCCTCCAGAAAATCCTGGTTTTGATCGCCCTCAGTGGAGTAGGGATGGGAGCTTGGCAAAGTGAGACATAAGCTGATTGGGGCTGATCTGGCCTGCATAATAATATTCCTGTTAGTAAGGCTTGGGCCTAACAGAAAGTGATTTTTTTCTTGTTCACCACTGGTGCCTGGCTTAGACGATTTAACTTCTTCCCCTTTCCCTGCTGCTGCCTAGGATTCGGGCTGTTTCTCCCCATTTTGATGACATGCACAGTAATACAGCATCCACAATCAACTTCATTATCTCCCAAGTTGCCAGTGGTGACATCAACACCAGCGTCCAGGCCCTAACCCAGGTAAGAAGGCCATTGTATATTTGAATTGGAGCTCTAGCCTTTGACCGCGAGAGTGATGAGTTGCACATCAGTGTGGCCACAGCATCAGGTGATGCGGGCTACACTCAGTATTAATCTGGTGACAAACCAAGTGCACAGGGGCCATCTGACTCGCAGTCAGTCCTTCCTTGCTTTATAGGGGACAGTGCTAACTTTATGCAACTTTTTGTGCAGGGATAGCAGGGATACTTTAGTGAAAATTTCAGAACTTCGCATTTTGTTATTTTGGGTCCTTTAACAATATTGTTTGCTTAGAACCTGATTTTTTTTTTAATAAATTTTTAAATGAATCCTAAAAAATAAAATCCTAGATTTGGCCAATGGAGAAAACCCAGAAGGTACACATTTTCATGTGTCTACCTTGGCTGATTTTTACATTAAACCCAGGCCTGCAGGAGCACCTTCTTGATCAGTGCCAAGTAGTCCATTCAGAGTTTCGTTTGTCTTAGAAGAACATAACTGGAACAGCACGTCTTGGGATTTTGTCTTTAGATCGATGAGGTCCTGAGACAGGAAGACAAATCAGAAGCTATGTCTGGCCACATCGACCAGTTCCTGATTGCCACCTTCATGCAGCTAAGACTAATCTATCACACGCATATGGCAGACGAAAAACTCGATAAGGATGAGATCATCAAGCTATATAGCTGTATCATTGGAAACATGATTTCAGTAAGACTTTAACCCCCAGGGGGAGGGCTCTGTCATCTCATAAAGGTCCTCACAGTGTATCACCTGAGACATCTAGAGCTGCACCTCCTGCCCTGGTTGCCACAGGGGACATTGTGCCATGATTCTGGTTATTGGGAAGTAAAATGAGCTACTTGAGAACTGTTTGGAATAGCTATACCTAATGCCCTTTAGGTGCCCAGGAGTGCTGTGCTCACGTGGATATGCCCAGGCAATGTACTATTCATGTAATATTATTTGTCAGATAGTTGATGTTTCTTCATTCTTTGAACAATTTCTGTCACCCTCTTTATTCTCTACATTACTGGGGACAGAAGTCTGAACGTTCCTGCTGTTGTGAATGCTAGCTGTTTCAGATGGAAAACCTCGCCCGGGAGGCCTCCACTGGTGTCCTGAAGGACCTGATGCATGGGCTCATTACTTTAATGCTGGACTCTCGGATTGAAGATCTCGAGGAAGGACAGCAAGTTTTCCGTTCCGTCAACCTCTTGGTAGTGAAGGTGCTAGAGAAATCAGACCAGACCAATATCCTAAGGTGCGACTTGTAACCTGAACCAGGTTCTTCCCCAGAACACCTCGCCTTAGGGCAGAGGCCTCTGCATGGGAAGGATGGCACTGGGTCTGCTTAGGTTTGCCTGACAAGTTGGACTGTCCTCTTTTTGCTGACAGAAGTAATGGGTCTTTAATGATTACCTGTCATTTTTGCTAACTGCTAATAATAGCTCAGTCAGTTACCTCATACAAGCTCAGCTACTTTGGAAATGGACAGTGGGCTTAGTTGAAAGCATTTTCATTCATGCTTCTTGTTCCTTGTGGCAGGGACTGGCAGTGATAAGTCTCAGAACGAGCTTACTCCACTCCTGCCCTTCTACCAAGGCATGTCATTCAAGCCAATTCTTTGATGAATGAGACGACCCTTATCAGGTCCTTACTTTGTGCCAAGCACAGACAGTTGCTGCTCTCCGGGAGCTCTTGCACTAATTGGGGGAGACGATACATAAAAAACAGTCATCGGCTAGGCCAGGAGGTTCTTAGGGTATGGCATTGGGTCAGCAGCAAGGCCCAGGGGTCTTGAGATAGGGTAGGTGGTAAGAGCTGGAGGTCTTAGAAGTCAGTGGCCGGATAGGCAGGGTGGCCTTCTGGTGTTTGATGCATCTCTTCAGATTCTGACTCTGATCAGTTGAGCAGTCCAGACAAGGGTGAGGGTAAAGGGCATAGGGCATCTCTGGGAGGGTTGCTCTTCCCTTCTTGGCCATCCTGGATGGGTTCTTGGATAGCCTTGGGTCTGGGAAGAGGGTGAGGGGAAAATGAGGAGGAGAAGCCAAAGGCACTGAGAAGCCTTCCTGCAGACCAAGTAGAGATGGGTATAACCATGGGGGAGGCCTTTGGCCTTTATTGTCTTAAGTTATGTGGCGTGCTCAGTAGTGAGCTCAGCAGGCTTATCATTTCTGAGATTGGTAGAGAGTGCCTAGCAAGATGTAGACCAGCCCTCAGCAGCCTTGGCCTCTAGATGTCATGGTGTTTAATTTCAGATTCAGGGTGATTGGTTGATGGTCCTTTTGTTTTTCAAATGCTGCTTCTTGTCTTCTCCCTAGTGCCCTGCTCGTTCTGCTCCAGGACAGCCTTCTAGCAACAGCTGGTTCTCCCAAGTTCTCTGAGCTTGTCATGAAGGTGAAGTCAGAATTCAGACAGGGTGGGGAGGAGGGAAGAAGAAGGGAGCAAGCGTCTACATGGCACCTGCCTACGCTGTGCCAGGCACTCTCTACAAATATTATTTGATCTTCACAACAACCCTTGGAGATAGATGCTTTTATGATCTCTATTTTACAATTGGAGAAACTGAGGGAGAGAGGTTAAATGATTTGCCCAAGTATATTATACATCTAGAAAGTGTCTGAGGCTGGATTTGAACTATACCCTGCTTATAGTGACACTCGGAACTAAGATAATAAGAAACATGCTCAAACTAAACTAGTGCTCATTGTCTCCACATACAGTGGGTTTCCTATATCTTCCCCATCCTAATTCACGCCTACAGAATAACTGAAAGCTCTCTCACACGTGTCTTCAGATGTACCCTCCTGACCACTCTACCCAACGAGCCTTCTCTTATAACAGAAAATTTTTTTAAACTAACAGCATATCAGCAAAACCCTCCACCATATTGACTGCATCTGGCAGCATGTATAATATGTCATACTCTTAGCCCCGCAACTCCCCAGATGGAGGGCATAGCCATTTCTACTCTTCTGCCAAGCCTGGCCATGATAATGCCGTGGTGCCCAGTTTAGAAAAGGAGCCACTGGGAGCAGCTAGGGGGCGCAGTGGATAGAGCTCTGGCCTTGGAGTCTGGAGGACCTGAGTTCAAATGTGGCCTCAGACACTTGACACTTACACTTAAGTCATTTAACCCTGATTGCCTCACAAAAAGCAAAAAAAAAGAAAGAAAGAAAGAAAAAGAAAGGGAGCCATTTCTCACTGCTTTTTTTCTTTCCTTCTTCATAGTAGAATTTGGCTGTAGCCTTGAGTTTGAATGTCTGTATGAAATATTTGACATGATTTCTTGTCAGAAGGAGATGCTTCTGTTAGCAAGAGACCTTTTGGATCCTCTTCTGGGACAGGTCCATAGCACTGAGTTCTAACATAATAGACCCTTTAGGCTAGATGCCCCCTTGAGCATTTCTACATCTGGGCCTGTGTTTTCTAGTCTGAGGGGTTTTGATGAGCCCTTAAGTCAGGTGGGTGTTGCCTTACGACCTCATCAGCCTGAACCAGGCATGGGGCATGTTATTACCAGCCAAACTGTAGAAGCGATCCATGGGTCTTGGAGCAGAGGCCTGTGTTTGTCCCAGCTTGGCCTCTGACTCGTTTGTGTGGCTTTGGACAAGTCATCACACCTTTCTGAACCTTAGTTTCCTTATCTGCTGAGTGATCCCTGGACTCCCTATAAGACGTGTGAGGAAAGGGTTTGTAAACTCGGAAGTGCCCTGTCTAGCAGCAGGGTGATACTTATACCCCTTGGCCTCGAAAAGAGGAGAATAGCTGGGAATCAGCACCTTCCACCAGACCTCCGCATGGGCAGCCAGTCTTTGGTTTTTATTTTTGTTGGTTTGTTTTTCCCTGTGTTTCTAACAGTGTCTCTGGAGAATGGTTCGACTTCTCCCTGATACCATCAACAGCATTAATCTGGACAGGATTCTCCTGGATATCCACATCTTCATGAAAGTCTTCCCCAAGGAGAAACTGAAGCAATGTAAAAGTGAATTCCCTATTCGGACCCTGAAAACTCTTCTGCATACCCTCTGCAAGCTAAAGGGGCCCAAGGTGAGCCAGAGAGATGACCAGTGTGCTGCTGGTCAGCCCAGGACACAGCCTGGGAATGGCGTCACTGCTAGTGGGACCCTTTCTTTTCTCCCCCAGATCCTGGACCACCTCACCATGATTGACAACAAAAATGAGTCTGAGCTGGAAGCTCATCTGTGCAGGATGATGAAGCACAGTCTGGACCAAATGGGAAGCAAGTCCGATAAGGAAACAGAAAAGGGAGCGTCTCGGATGGTGAGTGACGGAACCAGAGCAGTGAGGGTTGGGGGGGAGTGCTTACTGTGTGCTGAGCACTAGGATGCAAAGAGAAAGTCAGGGAGCCCTCATCCTAAGGGCAAAAACACACGTAGGATGTTTCGGCCGCTTGGTCCTTTGGGTTCATGCGGATCTTTGTGCGTCTTCTTTAGTGTGTTTCCGTTAATAAAACCATATTGGTTTCTGACGTCGAACCATTTGGTAGTGCCAAGGACTGTGATGTTAAAAGCACTCCCTTGTGAGTTATCCAGATTGTAGCTACTGAGAAGGCAGAAGTTGTAGAACCTGGAGGAGAAGTTAGCAGGCCACATATCCACAAAGGTTGCTTCAGTGGCCCATGGCTTTGGTGACCAAACTGGAGGCAGGGTCATCGGTCAGGGTAGTGGAGTCGGCCCACACTGGTCTTCCCAGGGCTTTAGGGCTCAGGATCCTAGCATGTCTCCAGCTGTTGAGGTGTTTGACCCACCTGGCACATGCTGCCTCTTCTCTGCTGTAGCTACACTGACTTGCCTGCCCTACCAGTGGCAGTGGCTGGTGGGCATAGTGGGTTCCTTCTCTATAGAATTTGGTGGAGCCCAGGTTTCTTATATGACCACATCCATCCAAACCTTTGTATTTGTGGGCCAAAGTCATGTGTAAGTGTTTTTCTTAGACCTCAATAGAGATTTCTTGCCTGAGCATCAAGACCAAATAAATATGATGATCGTTACTGTGTTTTGGAGAAATGGGCCCAGAGAGCCTTCAGCTGTAAATGGTATTGATCCAGCTCCTGGATTGACTTGGCATATTGTCATCATCCCTATGCACAGCACAGGTGCTGGCCCCTTTTAGGTCATGTACAAAACCAGAGGGCCATTGGGAACCTTGGTCTTAACTTTGTTTCTTGTCCTTAAACTCTTTAGGATGAAAAATCATCAAAGGCCAAAGTGAGTGACTTCTTAGCTGAAATCTTTAAAAAGATTGGCTCCAAAGAGAACACTAAGGAGGTAAGAGAGGAGACAGTCCAGATCCACATGAGAATCCTCTTCATGGAAAGAATCCATTCTGCTGCTAATAGTGCTCTTGTTCTCTTTTTAATTCATCAGGGCCTAGCAGAGCTGTATGAATACAAGAAGAAATACTCTGATGCAGATATTGAACCCTTCCTGAAAAACTCCTCTCAGTTCTTCCAGAGCTATGTAGAGCGAGGCCTCCGGGTGATAGAAATGGAGAGGGAAGGCAAAGGACGCATTACCTCTTCAACAGGTAAAATTTCCTCCAAGTGTGAGGGCCATGAAGCTCCCCAGCCCAGGAGTTTGTAGACACCAGTTATATTGTCATTGTTTCCACAAAGGAGAAAAACACATGGGATTTATTGCTGGGGCGGGGGGGTTAAGGAAAAGATGGATGGTTGAATTAGGAGATAAAAACCTTATGTGTTGTTTTTTTGTTTGTTTTTGGAGGGGAGCAGGGTAGAGGAGGGAAGTTCATCCAAAGAAAGTGCTTGGCTTAGTTCCCTTAGTTAGTGAGAGGACCTGATTCTCTAACTCCCTGCTACTATTGAACGTTGTCCTATGGAATTAAGATTGAACTGAAGGGTTCAGCAAACATCTGAGTGCCTCCTGTACAAAGTATTGGGCTAGCTTCTTGAGTTTCATTGAATAACTGAAAAGTAAAATTCCATAAAGCCCACAGCATTTGCCTCACTGTCCATTGGCCCCTCAGGACTTGCTCACACAGAATGGTGCCAGGGTTGAGGAAGGCTCAGTGGCAAGATCCACGTAGCATAATGTGGAACTGTCGGGCACGACTTTCTAAATGTACTCAAAGTTTCCATTTTCGACTTCCTCTTGGAATATATAACTTCAATGAGTTTACTGTCCTGTTTGGAAGTAGGACTGCCCATCAAGTAGTGTTTCCTGCCCCAACTGTTTGTTATTCAGATCTTCATCAAGGGTTTTGACTCCTCCTTTCCTAAAAGTCCCTCTCAAAACCCACCTTCTCTTTGGGCCTTTGGGTGCCTTTCACAGGTTTTAAGGTGAATTCCTCTGCTTTCTGAACCAGCTGTTCCTCCAAATACCTGAGGTTCTACCCCAATCCTGGAAGACCTAGGCTTCCCACAGTTTGCTCATTTATATAGCCCCAGGAGGTCTGAGAGGCCATAGTCCCTATGTTCTTTGGATGGACTGGTCTGTGTTGACACTGAGTGTATTCATGAAGTCTGTCTTATTGCTGGGACGTTGCTATGGTGTCCAATCCAGACCCTGTGCTTTAGAAATAAAAGCTGTCCTTTCTGAGAGACGGGCTTTAGGCTCTCTCTGAGCTGTGCCCTGGTGGGCTTTGGAGCCTGGGGACTAGATAACCCTCACCAGGACAGGCTGCATGTGGACATGGAGGAGATCTCAAGGAGGTGCATGCACCAGCTGGCCACGAAGCCTGTTGCCTGACTCTCGTGCCTTGGGCTTCCTCCCTCTTAGGGATTTCTCCTCAGATGGAGGTATCGTGTGTCCCCACTCCTACAAGCACAGTGTCCTCTGTGGGAAACACAAACGGAGAGGAGGTCGGCCCCTCCGTCTACCTGGAACGGCTGAAGATCCTGCGGCAGCGATGTGGTCTCGAGAACACCAAGGTAAGACTGGCCTTTCTCCTGGGCTGGGCGGGGGCGTCCATCCTGGCCGCAGAACTGAGAATCTACGTCTGTCCTCTTCTGCCGTCAGCAGGACGACAGGCCTTCCCTGACCCTGCTCTCCAAGCCGTCGGTGCCCACAGTGGTCTCCTCCACAGACATGCTCCACAGTAAGCTCTCTCAGATCCGGGAGTCCCGGGAACAGCACCAGCACCTCGACCTGGATTCCAACCAGATGCATTCGGCCACCACCTCCTCCTCCTCCTCCTCCTCCTCCACAGCTGCTAACATTGATGACTTGAAAAAAAGACTGGAGAGAATAAAGAGCAGTCGCAAATGAGCCCCCCACGCACTCCCCGGCTTTAGTTCACCCAACTCGAAGTCTTCATAGTTAAAGCAGCCTGCCTGGGCCTAGGCAATACAAACTGGTTTTCTGTCTAACACTGCGGATCTTGGGGGAGGACGGAGTCCTTGTGGCACAAGTCTCTTTGTACATACTCTGCTTCTCTCCGTGAGCATCCTGCCCATAGAAGACTATCTGTGTATTAGTTTAGTGTACAGACCTGTAAACAGCCGCCCTTCTCTGCTCAGACTGTGTTCTAATCCCTTTTTTTAATTGCTATTATTTGTAAAGTTGACTTAATATTTCCTAGCTCTTGACTATTAGAAACTCTTTAGTGGTTTTCCTTTGAGTTTGTGAGCTCTCCTCTGTAACCCTAAAGGGTCGGTCTATTCTGTATGGACGCATGGCATGATAAAGCTAATTTAAGTGTCTTTTGTAAATAAAGTTTGCATTAACTCTAACTGTCTACCAGGAACCAACGCCGTAGTTGGAAAGGCGGAGCTCTCTGTTGCCTGGAACATCTGTGACTTAGCCAGCCACAGGCAGATGGGTCACTTCCGGTGCAGTGTGACTCCCGGACACAGGACATGCACCCCGTCTACCTGACGCCCCCAGAGGCTCCAGGAAGCTCCTGCCCCCTCTGTTAGGGGCTCCGTCCTCAGCTCCTGCGCTGGCTTTCCAGCTGCTGCCTGCGCTCGTGGAGCTCAGTTGAGTTCTTGGCTCTGCGAGCTCATCACTCTAGCGCTGTTCACCTTGTCTGCAGATTAAGAGCAGCCTCTCCTGTGACTGTGGTACATCTGCCCTTGGGCGTCTCACCGCTTGCCCATCTACCCATGGGTCCCAGGACAATGCCAGGGGCTCACTCAGTAGAAGCGGTTGTTCTCAGGATCCTTTGGGTGAAACCCCTAGGATACAGGCCTGCGAACTGGGGAGCAGCGTGGAATGCGGCTCTTCAGGGGCCATCTCAGTGGCTGCCTCAGGGCCCGTTGGAATGAGGATGGCCTCTCTGCTCAGTGAGGCAAATGTGAATGGAATCCGTCAGTTCTTATCTCAGGAGTGCTGTAAGTCCTCCCCAACACTTAAATCATAATAAAGGAGACTAAAGACCAGTTCAAAAGCAGCTGATGCATGTGTGCGCAGTTTAGTGAGAGAAACTGGAGTGAAACCTGTTCATAGCATCTAAAGCACAGCGGCAGCATGTGGTCTGACATGTGCGTCCCTACAAGCCAGGTGGGGACCTGCCCCGCGTGTCTGCAGTTTACTTAGTCTGCTTGGGGCTGGAGGCTCAAACCAGTGGACTTTCCAGCCCTGAGCAGCTGTCTTTCCCTTGCTGGACTTGAGCTTTGCCTTTTTGTCACGTGAGGGGCTTCTGACTGGCCTTGTCTTGTACTGTGTGTTCGGTGGCCTGATTGGCCCCCTCTACACTACCTGAGCTAAACTTCCCTGGTCCAGTGGGAGCCCTTGTTCCTCTTCCCCCATCATGGGGGAAAGAATTAAATACCTGCAGCCTAGAGGAGGAGATACGTGTCGGTAGTTTATTCAGCATCCAGGGACTGATTGAAAACCAGCAGGCCTTGATGAAGCCCTGAGAGGGAAGCTGTCCCTGTCAAGGGCTTACTTCTGCCCCCCGTAGCAGAAGGCCTCTCCATCCACTGTTGGGAAGGCCACGCCCTAAAAGGCAATCAGTCCCTTTGTTTTATTAAGGCTTTGCACAGGTAAAGTGCTTGAAAGTCTACAGTGTTCTCTGGTCCCGCCATGTTCTCCTCTGGCTTACCAGGGGGCTGTCCTGTGGAGGTGGGGACACGTCTGGTTCTTTGCGCTGGGCTTTTTCTGGATTTTGATTCTTTGTGGTGTCCCTTGAGCAGGACTTTAGTCTTAGAAGGGATTTCCCATGATGATGCCTAGAAGTCTGTGTGTCACCATGGAAAGAACACTTGCACTGAAGCCAGAAGATCTGGCTTCTCATCCCACCTCTGATTCTAACGACTGTTAGAACCGTGGGCGAATCAAGTCACCAAGCCACCTCCATTTCTTTACTTGTCAAATGGGAGAGTTGGAGTTGATTTACTTCCAAGCACCCCTCCAGCTCTGTAACTGTGACGCTGTGATATCCCACCCCTTTCTTTACCTCTGGGCCACGGGAGAAGGCTGGAGAGGGCTGAGGGAGGTTCACAAGAATACCTTGCTGTTCCTGACTTGTCTCTTTTTAAGCCAGTCATGCCTGCGACAGGAGGAGAAGCAGGCAGAAAATGCAAGGTCTCAAATTCTGAACAGGTTGTTGTTCAGTCATTTCAGTCCCGTCCAACTCTTCTAACCCCATTCAGGGTTTTCTTGGCCAAGACGCCGGAGTGGTTTGTCATTTCCTTCTTCGGCTCACTTCACAGATGAGCAAACTGAGGTAAACAAGGTTGAGTGACTTGCCCAGGGTCACACAGCTAATGAGTATCTGAGGCCAGCATTGTACGCAGGAAGGTGAGTCTGGGCCAGGCACTCCATCCATCACACCAAATTTCCAAAGTGGGATGGAGGAGCTGCCCTGGGAGACAATGGATTCTCAATCACGGCAACTTTTCAAATGGGCTGGATGACCTTTGTCGGGGATGTCACGGTAATCTTCAGGTATGGCTTCGGGTACATAACTTCCATGGTCCATCTCAGCTTACCCGGGATGATTCCGTGGTAGAATTACTAGGGCAGGAACAGCATCCACTTGGACCTCTAAGCCAATGCAATGGAGAGGCAGTGTTGCATCGTGGGTGGAGTGCTGGATCCAGGAAGCCTCAGGTACTTCCTAGCTGTGTGACCCTGGGTAAGTCACTTCACCTGTCAGCCTCAGTTTCCTCATCTATAAAACAGGGATAACGCACCTACCTCCCCGGGTTGTGGGGATCCAATGAAGAAATAATTGTAAAACGCTTAGCATAGTGCCTGGCACATAGTGGGTGCTTTGTAAATGCTAGCTGTTACTAGGTCTATTGTCCAGAAGCCTCGATGCATCTTCTGTGCTGTCCCTCTCCCTGTCTCCCCCAGCACCACTGGGAAGGGCTTGCTGAAGCCAAGCATCCTTCAGCCAGTATGCCTGTGGCACAGACAAACACCGCCCCCCCCCCCCCCCGCTCCTCACTGGGCTGGTGGCCTCAACCCCTGTCCGACAGTGTGGGGGGCCAGAACGGAACCCATAATGCCATCTGGAGTCTGACCGATTCAGAGGACAGATGGAGGGGTGATCATGCTATTTCTGAAAGGTGTGTGGCCCAAGACGCTACTTTATACCATTGTCACCTTTTGAGCTGCCGTCCCTGCCCTGTCTGGCCATCCCTCATTCATCTCGCTTTCATGAGAACCAGTTTTTGAACCCAAGTAAATGCTGAGATATAGGCCATCTCCAAAAGTCTCACGACAGTTTTAAGCTTTAAAAACTTCAGAAGAAGGGGCAGCTAGGTGGCGCAATGGATAGAGCACCAGCCCTAAAGTCAGGAGGACCTGAGTTCAAATCCGGCCTCAGACCAAACACTTGACACTTAACTAGCTGTGTGACCCTGGGCAAGTCACTTAGCCCCAATTACCAAAAAAAAAAACAAAACAACTTTAGAAGATAACACTACCATGTACTAGGCACTGTGCTTTACAAATATACATCAATCCTGGAAACAGGTATTGTTATCCTTATTTTACAGTTGAAGAAACTGAGGCAGACAGATGTGAAGTGACTTGCCCAGAGTCACACAGCTAGTAAGCATCTAAGGCCAGATTTGAACTCGGTTCTTCCTAACTCCAGGCCCAGTACTCTATCCACCGTGCCACCCAACTGCCCTGTGTATAAAAGCTACAACTACAAAAAGCCACATTTGAAAGGTTTAATTTTTAAAATTTTTAAATATTGATGTTTCTTTATAAAATTCAATATGATCACTGTCTTGTGAACTTTGTTTAAAAAAAAACTCATTAGCTGCTCCCCAGGGACTAAGAGGATTGCCTTGGTAATCGCAGCCTTAAGATCATCCGAAGAATGAGGTTTGGATGCAGAGGGGACAGTGTGAACGCAGCCCCACAAGAAAACAGCCAGAGACAGATCGGGTCACTGGAGGGGTTCGGCAAGGGGACCGCTTCTACACATCCCCAGGTCGGAGAAAGTTCTGTGCAGAAACTGTTCAACGTGCAGTGCAGGAAGACAGGTCCCATCTTGTTCAAATGAAGGTCATTTGGAATTCACAAAGCTAAGTCAATGTAAAAGTTTGAACTCTCAAATGATGGGGTGTGTGTAGCATTTTTACTTCTGAAGTTATTGAAGCTTAAGGACTTCAGGGACCCGTTCTCTTAGATTCAGCCCCATGTTCTGTTTGGAGCCTGATTTAGCTAGTGTGTTAGCGAAACTTTAGCCTGGTGTCATTTACAAACTGGGTAAATATGGCATCTGTGCCTTTATCCACGAGGCAACTAGGTGGCACAGTGGATGGAGCACCAGGCCTGGAGTCAGGAAGACATGAGTTCAAATCCGGCCTCAGACACTAGCTGTGTGACCCTGGGCAGTTCACTCAACCTTGTTTACCTCAGATTCCTCATCTGTAAAATGAGCCAGAGAAGAAAATGGCAAAGCAGTGCAGTAGCTTTGCCAAGAAAACTCCAAATGGGGTCGCAGAGTCAGACATGAATGACTAAACAACTTTCCTTTATCCAAATTTTTGACAAAAATGTTCAATTTATCCATTTCTTCATTCACTTGTAGCGCTCAACTACATAGGAACATAGAAATTTCAGTCCTGCCTCACATAGCTCAGTTGCCAACAGTTGACCCAAGGGACATGTTATGAGAGGGCATGTTTGTCCTCTCTGATAGCCTTAAAGACTCGATGAATCCCTTAACTGTTTAAAAAAAATTATAAGTTCCTTTTCCAATTTATAAACAGGCAGCTAATTGGACTGATGTAGATAAGATCATGGGGGTTGGAGTCTGGAAGACTTGAGTTTAAATCCTGTCTCAAATACTTAGTAGCCAAGTGACCCCATTAAACTCTCAGCATCAGTTTCCTCATCTGTAAAATGGGGATAATGCTAACACCCAGCTCTGAGAGTTGGGATGATGAAATCAGAGGACGTGTAAAACAGTTTGCAACCCTTAAAAAGCCGGCTTTTATCAAGGAAGGCCATGTGTAGAGGGGGTTAGTCTTGGTGAGAAGGGCCACCTCTTCATCAGAGACCTGAGTGGAGGAAGAGAGAATGGGGGCTGAGGTCACAGCAATTCTCCCAGCCCAGGCATTTGGTGTGAACGCGCAAAGTAGGCCAGCCCCAGGCAGGAGTGAGAAAATGAGATGGGGAAGTTTCCCTGTCGGGCCTTCTGGACTTAGAGGGAAAGGAGGCTAGGTCCAATCTGTTCCTGTAGCTTGGCCCATGCCCTGCACCCCCAGATTCTCTCATCTCCCTCAAGCCTGGGCCTCTTTACATCAGGGGCCCTTAACTAGAGTCTATGGATTGACTTCAGGGGTATCTCTAATTTGGATGGGGAAGAATTACATCCTTGTTTTCACTAACCTCTAAATGAAACTTGATATTTCCTTTAATTATTTAAAAGCATGATTCTGATAAAGGGTCCATAGACTTCCCCAGATTGCCAGAGGGGTCTATAGCCCCCAAAAGGATAAGAACCCCTGCCTTCCATGGTGATTTCTTTTCCCAAGTTGGTTCCATTTGTCCAAACGGTGGCTTGGTTCTTAGATGTCCCAAGCAACCCCTCTGGGGGCCATCTGAGCCCAGGAGGAGGAGCTGAGTGTGAGAAGTGGGATAGCCAAAGCTCATAGAGGGAAAGATTTTTATTGGGAAATAGATATTTTAGAAATAAAAAACACAAAACCTTCCCACTTCATTGGGGATGGGGAGACCTCTCTAGTTCATGCTCCTTGCTCAGGGGCAGGGATAGGGCCTTACAGGTGGGCCCCTAAAGTCCAGGTCGATGGATGGTTTTCTGTATCCACTTCTTTAGACGGAAGACATGAGTGTAGAAGCCGAATTTCCCATCTCGGTCGCAGCCTTCACCCCAGGACACGATTCCCATTTGGTACCAGCGATTGTCGAAAGGGCTCTTAAAGAAGACAGGATGTAAGATGTCCCAGGG